GGGGGATTGACTAGAGGTAATGAAGTTGAGTTTGAATTTGAATTTGAAATCATACCTGTTCCCTCCTTGATTTGTTGTGGCCCACCTGTGGTGGTGGTGGTGGCTAGTGGCGGTTGATCATTGATTGGAGAGCTTAGATGAAGTGGAACATGGTGTTGCTTTTAAGCTTTGAGCTCAGCCAGCTTAGTTCTCATGTCGGATATAGTCTTCTTGAGTGAGTTGTACATGTCCATGGCTCTCCCAAGGTTTTCATCTTTCCATTCCAGTTGTTCTTGTAGCCTGTCAATCTGCTGTGTTGGGGAGGAGTAGAGTAAGGGATTAAAGCTCCTTGGTAAATTTCTGTATGTAAGGAGTTAATGGTTGGTTTTTTAAATATGGTTTTTTGGTTAATCTATTTGGGAGGATTTGTTTAAAGAGGAATGTGAGCTGGTCTGTGGTTATTGTTGTAAAGAGGAATGTTGTTTGGTGAGGTGGTAACATGGTCTGTGCAAGAGATGTGAGTTGATATATGGTTGTTGCTGTAAAGGGGGATGTTGTTTGGTGAGGTAGCAACATCGCTTGTGATAGGGATGGTGTGATACCCCTCGGATCCGAGACACGGGTTGATCAGGCCCAGGCCCAAACCCGAGGGAATATCAAACAATTAATATTTTATAATGAACACGGAATACAAAATGAATTAAGAAATGAAATTAAAGCTGAAAGGAACTAAAAATAGAATCCGCAAAATATTATAATTATTAAAATCCATCAAACCCAAACTCCAAAACTCCATCAGTTTACAACTCGGGAATCCATCTCTAGTGGACCCCTATTAAACATCCAAACGGAAGATAGAACAACTGTAATAAACATCCAGAAATAAAACTATAGAGAGAGAGCCCTACATCGTCGGAAGAGTGAATAGAGACCTCTGCTCAGCACGAACACGTCTAAGCCTAGAACTGTCGTGTACCTGAAAATAAAAGTGGGTCAGGCCCACGCGCAAGTTCTATCCTACTACAATCCAAGCAGAGACTCGATACGCATGTACATTCTAACCAACTCAACAATAGCTAATAGTCCGTATGTATATTTATATAATCACACTAAAGGACTCTCACTGGACTACAGGGCGGTCTCAACCTGAATAAAGGCAACATGCAAAACGCACACAAAGTGGACATGTGTACCTAAGCCTAACAGGGTACACCTCCAACCATCATAGCCAGCTATGCATCCCAATGCATATACGCTCCCTAACCAACGACTCTGAGACTCAAGCTCATATCGTCGCATCATAAGAATATATTTAAATTCCATTCCAAACCAAAGTGTCACTCAATTATTTATTGATCTGACACAGAAGACAGGTAGGACTTAACTTTTGTAGTTAATCCATCCCTTATTCCAGAGTAGGTAGGACTTAGCATTTTTAAGCTAATCCCCCTGGTATGTCACCGTCCCATACCGGTGCATACAAAAACATCCATCCATAATTGATAATATATATATATATATATATATATATATATATATATAAAATTAAAACTATTCCAGAAAGTCCACAATTGATAATAATACATCAAGTATAAGCATCAATGATTCCATAATAAGCATGTTAAAATTCTATAATTTAACAGGCTTATAACTACTACTTTCCAAGATCCAATAATTGATAATTTATCACATACAAGCAAACATCAATTATCCCCACAAAACATGCTAGAGCGGAGTATATATATAGAAACATACTGATTTAAGTCTACTCTAACAACCTCTCATAATTGACAACACATCTAATGTATGCAACTGTCACTCTATCCACAGCAAGCAAAATTAAATATTTGTAACCTTGCATGCTTGTATAGAATTTCTGAACCATAATATCTGTATTCAATTCTCAAGAATTGCCATATAAAGACTTAGCAATTTAACATCTTTTATATCCGAAAACTGTAATCTAGTTTAGTTAAACTTTACCCATTATTCAAGAATGAACCTCAACTTGTTTAATTTGTTTTAGTTTGTTCCCTGAAGTTTTTTTATAAGCTTTTAGAACATCATTAAACACTCCATTACAGCCTCCAACAGAATCTGAAATTACCAAAATCCAAGTCTCGTAGCCCAAACGGTTGCCCAAAACTCAGAAAAATGGAAAAACTGGAAAGAGCCTGCTCCCTCAAAGAGGGAGCCTGCTCTTTTTTTCTCGGAGCCGGCTCCCCACCATGGGGAGCCGCCTCCTTGCCTTCTAGAGCCGGCTCCCTCTAAGAGGGAGCCTGCTCTTTCTTCTGGGGAACCTTCTCCCCTTTTGGCTCTCCTCTGTTCCTCGTCTCTTCCACCTTCGGCGGTTCTCCGATGGCCTGTCCTCCACTCCTAGGGTGTCTAGGTATTTAAACCAAGTTCCAGCATGTTCAAGAGGCAACCTAATTCGTTATACAACTACCCACATCAAACTAATCAAGTATTGTATACCAAGAACTGCAACCGATTACTTTAGCGTTCAAATTTACTTACTGCTTCAGACAATCCAAGCTTACAAACAAATTAATTTTAATGTTATTACAAGGTGTTTCAGATTAATCTAACCCCTTATACATCGACAGACAAGAACTAAATCAAGACACGTGGAAGAAACAGTATACAACAAATAATTCAAAACATACAAACACGTTCAGTTTTTTTTTTTTTGAAGCATCCAAACATATATTAAATTTTGATTTTAAACTTGATTAAATCCTGGAGTTACATTAGGAATGTAAAGAACACGAGCCTAAGAGATAGAGATAGGATTAGAACTTGCCTTACACCGACGTCTTTTTAAAATCCTCCGGCGAACTCTCTACTTGCTCTCACTTTGCCTCCACAGAATAACTTACGTTTTGTTTTATTTTGTTTTAAACCCTAACCCACCGTATTATGCATATTTATAGGCTTTGACATTAAACCCTAATCCATGCATAACTATAGGTCTAGCTACAATTATAGTCGGCCCAACCAATTAATTTAAGTAATTAAAATAACACAAATATATAATAAAATTAAAACTATTTAATTAACCCAATTACACTTAAACCATTAATGCCAATTAAATAATTAAAACACTAACAAGTAATTCCAATTAAATAACTAAAAATAAATATCATTTAAATAAAGTAAAGCACCATAAAAGAAAACAATTAAGCACCTAATAAAAAAAAATAATGACACATAATCAAATAAAATGCACTTAAATAATAAATTAAATACCATTAAATACCAGGAATATCCTTTTTAAAATTAGGGGTATTACAGATGGATTGTTTTAGTGGTTTAAAGGGTGGTTTAAGGTGGTTTGCTATTGGGTTGGCCGTTGAAGGAGGCTTTTGGTGGTTTGAAGCTTTTGGTTGTAGGGAGGATTGTTCCTGGTGCTCATGGTCTCTTGCCCCACGTTGGGGTTGCTTTCAAGTAATAAGTTGTTGAGGAATTCAGCCATATGGTACTGGTACTGCTGAAATCGTACTATGTGCCAGCTAATTCTGAAAAATCTCACAGTAAATAGTAAAAATCATCATCTGTGGTTGAGATTGGAACACACAGACATATACATGTATGAATGTAATTGAATATTGACTGTGGCATAAAGAGCGACAACAATGGTCGCTTTATTTACATTTAGTTAACATTGAGACTTGACAGTGTCGCTGTCTGTCATACTGAACCACTCACTTAAATTTTCTTTGGCTGCGCTGCAAGGTTTTTTTTTTTCTCTGGTTCGTGAAGAGTCTTGAAACTTGGTTTTCATCTTTTTTTCCATTCAGCTCTAGGCTTATGGCGGAGGATCTGGTTTCCCAACTCCTGTCTTTCCAACTATCTGAAGAAGAGGAGATCGGTGTTGTTCTTGAAGAGTCGGTTGCTAACGAAGGGGTTCGGTTGTGCGATAACAGCCTGGTCGGCCATCTTCATACTCCTGGGCCTGTCAATCTTTTTGGTCTGCGTAGAGATGTTGAATGAAGCCTGGGCTTGCGAAAGCCTTCAGATGTATTGCGTGGAGGATAATAAATTCTATTTTCTTCTTCCTTGTGAAGTAGATCGTGATCGTATTATTCAGAATCGGCCGTGGAGTTTTGAGGGCTCTCTTCTTTCTCTCCACCGTTGGCATCCTAATTTTGATTTCTGGGATGTGTCCTTTCAGATTATTCCTTTTTGGATTCGGGTTGTTAAAGTTCCTTTGAATCAATCGACTGAGGCCGTGGCGTGGACAGTTGGTTCTACCTTTCTTTCTTATGACCGAGTGGTGGTTCGCGATCAAAGCCTTAAAGGCGAGCGTTACCTTCGTATTAGAGTTGGTGTTAATACATCCAAACCTTTTCGTCGAGGGATTAAGCTTTGGAATGTTAATAAGTGGATTTGGGCTCCTTATAAGTATGAATGGCTTCCCTCTCTTTGTTTTGGCTGCGACCGGGTGGGTCATACCTTTGGTTCCTGTCCATGGTGTTCGGCACTTTCCGTTGATAAGGGTCCGTTCGACATCGACCTTAAGGCTACTGGTTCGCCGGGACGCCTCCAGACGAATTTCATCCAGGATCCTTCTCAGAGTGACTCATCCCAGAGTTCCAATTCAACCACCAGTTTTCGTCCAGTGAACGACGTTTCTAACAGTGGGATCGCTGAGGTCTGCCACATGGTTCTTCCATCCTCATCTCATGTTGGTGGGCCTTCTCCGTGTCAGGTTTTTTGTGGCCCTAAGGCACCCACTCCATTCCCTACTCCGGCTACTCCTCGTAACATGTGTGAATTTCCTGATCTTTCGAGTTTGGTTCCCCCAAATTTAGTTCATACAGTGGGTCTTTCAACTAACCAGGCTTTGTTTGGTGGTCCCTCTTCCTTGGACCGGGAGTTGACTTCTTCTTCTACAAATGGAGCGGGCCCAATTTCCACTCGCCACTCCCTGCTGGCCCCTTTAAGTTCTGATGTTCCAGTGGCCCTTGCCCCATCGCTTATTGGGCCTTTTTGTGCAGCCTAACCTCCTTATTCTCAACATGGGATTTGGTCCTCTTCTATCTCAGACGGCCCACATCAGGTTCATTTAACCTCTCCCCGTTCTCTTCCTAATTCACTTTCCCGTTCTTGGAAAGTGAGGGCTCGCAATACTGTTCCAGTTTCCTCTGCGTTGTCTCCACTGGTCCAAAAGTGAAAGGTGTTACTTGATGCTTCTTCTCCCCCGGCAGGTACAAAGAAGTTCAAAGTGGAGTGTCTTTTGGACATGTGTACGGCTCCACAAGGTGATGTTTCTCCCTCTCTGTCCAATTCGATGGTGGTAGCCAGCCTAGCGTGGCCCCAACCCCCTCAATAAGAGTTCTGGTGTAAAATTGTCAGGGTTTGGGGAACCCCTGACGGTTTCCCAGTTGAGGAGGTTAGTTCACCTACATTCCCCTCCGTTGATTTTTCTTTCAGAAACTAAAAATAATTGTTCTTGGGTGGAACAAATCCGCAACTGGTTGGGTTCATATGATCTGTTTGAGGTTCCGTCCTCGGGTAGAGCTGGTGGTTTGGCTCTGCTTTTCTCTCCAGAGTGACAGATTTCTGTTGTTGATTTTTCAGACTTTCAAATCACTTGTGAAGTGATTGGTGGCCGCGGTGCAACCCCTTGGTTTTTTACTGGTGTTTACGGTTCACTACTGAGATCGAACGGGCTTTACAATGGCGTCATATCCATAGCTTGAAATTTCAGTTAGGTCCGAGATGGGTTTTGGTTGGGGATTTCAATGCTCTCTTTCACAAAGATGAGAAAAAAGGAAGGCTCTCCAAGAAGGGTTGGATGTTGAGAGATTTTAAAATTTTCCTTTCTGATTGCGATCTCACTGACCTTCATTTCAAAGGGTTTCCTTTTACCTGGACCAATAATAGGGATGACCCCCATCATGTTATGGCCCGACTGGACCGAGCTTTATGTTCCCAGGACTGGCTTCAGAGTTTTCCACGGTGTATGCTTCATAATTTAACTGTGCAGGGTTCTGATCATCGGGCTCTTCTTCTCTGTTGATTAAATTCTCCATAATAAGCGGAATTTTCATTTTGATGCACGGTGGATTTTTCAAACCCACCATTCAAAAAGCTTAGGATTTTTCTGGTTTTGGTTCCCCTTTGTCTGGCATTTATCAACGACTGTCTCGTTGCCGATCAGCTCTGAAATCTTGGCGGCGGGGTAATGTGATAATGCCCAAAAGCGGATCAAGGTCCTCCAAGAAAAAATTGTCCATCTTAAGGACCGCTTGCATGGGTTTGATAGAGGGGAGTGCTCTCAATTGGAACAAGAACTCAAGTTTGCATGGCGGGATGAGGAACTATTCTGGAAACAGAAATCGCGCATAGCTTGGCTCAACCATGGGGATAAGAACACCAAATTTTTTCATCGTAAGACTTTAATTCGCCGGTGCAAGAATGAAATTCTTGGTTTGGAAGATTCTCAGCGTCAGTGGTGGGATTCCAAGGATGATGTTCGTAGAGTGGCGGAGGATTATTTTCAACACCTTTTTTCTTCTTCCCCGGTTGTGAGTGATGATGACTTTTGGCAGATGCTCTCTCCTAAAGTTTCTCTAGAGATGAATACAGAGCTTCTCAAGGATGGTTCGGTTGAGGAATTACGCCAGGCTATCAGTGGTATGGGTTCGTTTAAAGCTTCGGGTCCTGACGGCTTCACTTCTCTAGTTTTCAAGTTTAATTAGGAGACGGTAAATGATGATCTTCTTTCGGGTTTTAATTCCTTTATCCATGGGGATCACATGCTTGGTTGTCTCAATGCCACCAATCTAGTTCTTATTCCTAAGGTGAAGCATCCCATCTTGATGTCTAATTTTCGTCTTATATCTTTATGCAATGTGGTGTATAAAATTTTTTCCAAGGTTCTTGCCAATCGTCTGAAGCTCATTCTTCCATTATTGATTTCTGAATCCCAAAGTGCCTTCGTTCCTAACCGACTGATTCATGATAATATTGTTATTGCGCATGATCTCTTGCATGTTATTAAGTTTAGGAAGAAGTCCAATTCTCCAAGTTTGCTAGCTATCAAGCTTGACATGGCTAAAGCATATGACCGTGTGAGTTAGGATTTTCTTTCCAAGTTTATGTTACATTTGGGGTTTTGCCAAGCAATGGGTGGCTTTGATTATGGAGTGTGTTCAGACCGTGTCTTTTTTGGTGGTTATATTAATGGGGAATGTGGGGCTCGGTTTGCTCCCTTCAGGGGCCTCCATTAAGGCGACCCTCTTTCTCCTTTTTTGTTTCTCTTTTGTACTGAAGGTCTCACAACTTTTCTCCAAGACGCCGTGCATCGAAAATCGCTTACTGGTCTTAAGATGGGTCGGGGTTGTTTGCCCATCTCTTAGTTGTTTTTTGCGGACGATGCTCTACTTTTCGGCTCTACTAAGGCGAGTGAGATGTGCTGCCTTAAATCTCTCCTTGATATGTATGATTCACTAACTGGCCAATTGGTGAATTTGGAGAAGTCCTGCCTGTATTTCAGTCCCAATACTCCTACTCCTTTGCATAACTCTCTTCGGCACACTGTAGGAATTCGTAACGTCGACTAGTCTAATAAGTACTTGGGCCTTCCTTCTCTTTTGGGTCGATCCAAAATTGCAGCTTTTAGTTTCTTAGCTGAAAGCGTTTCTGCGAAAACTCAACTCCTCAAAGGCAAGTTCCTTTCTAAGGCGGGGAGGGAAATTATGCTTAAAGCTGTTCTCTCTGCTACTCGTATTTATGCTATGCACTGTTTTAAGATTACTAAGCAACAATGCAAGACTTTAACTAGCAAATTCCTTAATTTTTGGTGGAGTGGTGAGGAGAAGACCAATAAAATTAAGTGGATTCGTTGGGATACCCTTTGCAAGTCCAAGGCTGTAGGGGGTTTGGGTTTCAAAAATATGGAAGCCTTTAACCTTGCTCTTCTTGCTAAGATGGCTTGGCGTATGGAAGTGGGGGATGATTCTTTACTCTACAAGCTTTTCAAGAAAAAATATTTCAGTAAATGTAGTTTTTTTTATTCCTCTGTTGTTCCTCGATCTTCGTGGGTCTGGAGGAGCTTACAAGCTACTAAAGCGGTTCTCCGTCGGGGTATGATATGGAGGATTGGGGATGGTTCTTGTATTGACTGTTGGAAGGACAACTGGATTCCGGATCGATCTAATTTGGTTGTTACAACTCAAAAGACTGGGGCTCCTTTTTCCTCAGTTGCTGACCTGATTAATGCCTTTTCCCATTCTTGGAATGCCGATTTGATTTCTCGGTTCTTTAATCATCGTGACCGCCGTCCCATCCTTCAGATTCTTCTTCGTCAGATGGGAGGGTTGGATTGTAAAGTTTGGGGGTTAACTTTTTATGGCAAGTTTTCAGTTAAGAGCGCATACTATGCTTCTCTCTCCTTATCTGATTCTTTACCGCCCTCTCCTGCTTTTGCAAGTTGTAGTTTTGATTCCGAAAAGTAGTCCTTATGGCGGTATGTTTGGAAAATCAAGGCTTATCGGAAAATCCAGCTGTTCTTATGGCAGAGTTTACATGAACGCCTGCCGGTGCTTTCTCAATTGCGCTCCAGAGGCGGGTCTGATGAGGTTACATGCACTCTCTGTGGGGCTGCGGAGGAGACTATTGACCATATTCTTTGTACCTGTTCTTTTGCGTGCCAGGTATGGAAACTCAGTCCTTTTAAGTTAGATTTCAGCATTTCGTCTCCTTCTTCCTGGCCAAAACGGTGGTTATTTATCATCTTTCTGTGGGATGATTGTGTTTTTTCGTCCGAATGCATAAGCCTTGCTGCTTTTATTTGTTGGGCTTTATGGAAGTGCCATAATGATCTTTTGTTTAACAATAAGCTTTGGGATCCGCTTGCCGCTGTTCAACTTGCTGTTCGGAATTTCCATGAATTCACAGCGGTGAGCTTTCAGGATGCTCTCCTTTCCTTGTCTCCGGCCACTGTCCCTCCTCGGTCTTCCTCTTGGATTCCCCTTGCTCTAGGTGCTTTTAAGCTTAATTTTGATGCTACTTATAGCAATGTTTCCAAGTCTTGTGGCAGCGGCATTATTCTCAAAAATCATTTTGGGCAACCCATTCGCGTTGCCTCTGTTTTCTTCCGCTTTGTTTGCAGTTCGTCTGTCACTGAAGCTCTTGTGCTTAGGGAATCTCTCACGCTTCTTCAGTGTTGGGGTTATTCTCATGTTCTCGTGGAAGGTGATTGTAAACCTGTTATGGATCTTTTTCCTTCAGAAGAAGCTCGCACTGTTATTTATGACAATGCTACTATCCTTCTTAGGTCTTGCCTCGGTTCTTCCCTTGGTTGGACCCATCGTTTAGGTAATGTTGTTGCTCATTTAGTGAGCAAATCGGCTTTGGAAGCCAGTTGTGGTGATTTTGAGTGGAGCATATGACCCGGTGATTATTAAATGCTCTTTCTTCTGATTGTATCTCTTCTCTTTTCTAATGTTATTCGCTTTAGATAAAAAAAATTTACATTTAGTTGTTTGTCGTAGGCCTGTTTGGTTTCAAAAGTCAGATTAAAAGCCAAGAAAATGTCAGCGCCAAAGGACCAATACCCAAACAGACGTATATAAATGCAACGTTCAATAAAATTAATGAGTCTCACCTATTTGTAATATGCCAAAAAATAATAATAATAAAAAGAAAAAGAAAATAAAAAATCAATACATTGTCTCTCTCCGTTTATCATTTTCTAATATCTCTTGCACGAATGGACAAACAATAAATCTTTCCACGAATATGTTCTCACTTACGTCAAGTTATTATAAGGTCTTGAATCCATCATTGAAAATCTGTGTGTTTTTTTTAACTTTTTGGTTACGTGTTCAATAAATATTGATCGACACCATTTAAAAATGGTTCTTCGCTAATGACTTTTTTTCACAACGTGGTGCATTCAGAACATACTTATATTCAGTATTACTCACCTCCTTTTAAATTGATAGTAGTATATAGTAGTATGCATTACTCTCCTTGTATTCAGGATTGGGTGAGTGTGCTTTTAAGACTTCAATTTGCAAACATTACCTCAAATGCGTAGCAAATAATTCTTTCTTATTTTTATTATTATTATTTTTTAATGCTGTGTTCAATAGAAATGAAGGAAAAAAAGTGTAAAGAGAAAATAAAAAAAAATGAATAAAGTTTCTTTGTATGGATATTTTTTCACTTTTTACAATACTTTGGACTTATATAAAAAAGTCACTTTCGAAATCCGCATATTAAATTTTAGAAAAATGATAACAAAAATCGATTGATGCGTCAGCTATTTAAATAACTGACGGCAAAAACCAATTCGATGTTATAATCATTACTCTAAATTTTAACCAAGTCATCCAGCCACTGAAATTTTTATTAGTGGGCCTTCAAAACAGGCCCAGTTGCAAATTTAGTCCGTTATTAGTGGGCCTTCAAAACACCTATTAGTCTAGTAGGCCCACCTCTGTCGATAATGATGCTCCGTATTTGAGATCTACACGTTGCTTCATGAGACTGCTGGCATAATTAGTTCTCACTTCTCACCATATCAGGCTGGGGCCGGACTGAGCATGGCCATAACTCAACTGGGCCTAGAGCCAGCCTAATAAACCCAAAATTTACACGGGTCAAACCTATCTTGTTGAAATTGGGCCAGCAAAAAACTATACTTTGAATTGCAAATAATTTAGGAGGGTGATCATGATTATTTTTAGAAAGCTAGTGAATGACACATTTTATAACAAGAGTAATATGATAGAGTGATCGATAGCTAAGACAAATTCAATAACTTTTACGTGCGTATAAATGTTAAAAATATTAAAAACATCGACATCCATCAATCATTTTATGAAATTGTTTGACTTTCCCACTTTAAATTATTTTCTTAATTTTCTTACAAATTTAAAATTCACAAATATAATAAGTTAAATATTTGTTACCTTTTAAATTGGATAATTGGTTCTTGTACATTGTTTGTCCCAACACATATGCAAAAATTAAAGGATAATACTTAGTTACTCGCCGGTAAGTAACTTCACCCTACTCATCTCTTATATGTTTCAATAACAACATACCACGTCAGCTTTAATAACCAAATAATTCACGTTCTCTTATATTTTCTCGGATCAACTATTGAATAATTTTTTTTATTAAAACTGATGTGGTATGTTGTTATTGGAACACATGAGAAGTGAGTAGGATGAAGCTACTTACCGGTTAGTAGTTAAGTATTATTCAAAATTAAAAATAAAAAATAAAAAAGAAATTTACCAATCTGTCCCTAGATTCCGCTTATCTGATTTGTTTGTCCGGGGAGGGAGAGAGAGTACTTTCTAACGGCTACTTACAGATGTGTTTAAAGATCTCTCTTTTTTTGTCCAAAACACACACCATAAACAAACAAAGAAAAGCGACCCTCTCTCTCCTCTTACTCTTCTCACACACTCAACCACCCACCTCCTCCACCACGCTCCGCCACCACCACTCACCTAATTCCAAACTCTCTCTCTCTAATCGTGAGAAATGGAGGAGGAATCTCAATTGTCAAAGCAGATTGTCAGCAACGAAGACGGAGGAGCGGCAGGAGAGGACGAGGAGTTCTACGAGAAGATTGAGGCACCCAAGTTCGTCGACTTCACCGTCTCCGATCCTTACCGTCCCGACGATCGCTACTGGTTCTGCTCCCGAGTCGGTGTGTGCTTTCATACCAACATCATATATATGTGATTTTCACTTCATGTTAATTTTTCAATTGGTGGTTTCATTCAATTAGATTTTAGTTAATTGTTATTCAATTTGTTCATTGGTTGTGATTTGATGTGAATATAGAGTAATCTTTCTTCAGGATCAGCTTTCTGATTCTTAATTTTTCCGTTTTGTCAATTGAAAAGGATCTCTGTTTGGTTGCTAAGAAAACACTGAGGGTAAGAAAGGGGAATTGGATATTGAGCTAGCTGTTGCACTTAAAGAGGAAAAAGAAAAATTAGCTGAGCAAAATAGTGATATTAGATGAGTTGTATTGATTTTTTTTTTTTAACACATTTATTTTCCTGGAAAGTAAACCACTAGAAGATTAAAAAGGCCCAATTTTCCTCTTGTTCTCTAATTATATAAATATATTCTTCCACTTACTCAGCTGCAAGAGAGTGCTTCTGTTGATCTGATTTTACATTCTTTAGGTTGATTTGGTAAAGCTGGAGGTCAAAAATGTTGTCTGCAAAAAAGATTTATTTTTTGTTTTATTTTTTATGATGAGTCTGATTTTAATTTGAGCTGTTAGGGAATGCATCTCAACTTTTTCAAATGCACAATTTTTTGATACCCTCTTTCTCTTACAATTTGATCTTCCAGGATGTGATCTAAAGCATGAAGAAGAAATGGACCCTGAAGCAATCTACAAAAATTTTGTTCTTCGGGTTAGTGTTATATATATATATATATATATATATATATATATTGTGCTTCTTTTAATGTGTAGCTGATAGACAAATTTAGGGTTCTGACATCAATAATTTATACAGGTCATGGCAGCAAGAAGTCCCAATATTCGACTTCGAAAAGCACTTAATAGAAAAGCTCCAAGGTACATCTACGAAGTTTAATTTCATTATTACCTTTTCATTTATTTTTGTAATTTGGGGGTTTCACTAACACCACTTAATTTGATCTTCTAGTGCAAATGCAAAATGCCCACTTTCAGCACCTGCAAAACCTTCAAAATCAAGATTCGCATTAATTTCTTCAATTCCTCAAAAGATGGTTAAACCTCTTCCTAAGCTTAGTTCAACACCCCATGCCAAGACAAAGCAAGTTGCTGCTAAGTATTTAACTACTCCTAGGAACAAAAAATGCCTTCCAAATCCAAACTCATTTTGTAGTGTTCAGAACCTGAAACCAACCATTGTTGAAGTGCCCAAGAATAGAATGGTAGTGAAGGCTTTGGTCTTTAACTCTCCGAAGAAAGGCATTTGTGTGAAAACTTCGGTGGAATTGAAAACCCCTTTATCGAAGATCTGTGAAGGGATGAAGAAGCTTGAGATAACCAGCCAAAGGAAGCGCGTATTGGGGTATTCTTACAAATCATCAAAAGACATTAGACGCAATCCTAAGAAATCGTTGCCTCTAGATCCTTCAGGACGACAACTAAATGCCTGCAAGGATAAAACCAGGCTTAAGGATTCGTTACACCGTCAAAATTTGAAGGACCAGGAAGCCAAATCCTTACGAGGTATGAAGAGAGAGAGCAAAGGGAAGTTCAACAATCACTGCAGCTCTGTGCCTAAGGAAATGGTTGAAATTGACTCCAGTGATATGGAGATTGATGTAAAATCAAGGGATGGTTCTACAATACCTAGTTCAAGGATTAATAAACACTATGAACTTGAGGAGCATTTGACAAATTCTACTCAAGAAGAAGCCATTAATTCCTTGGAGGCGCCACCATCGACAGAGAATTCAGATGCAGTGTCATCAGATGACTCAAAAGAGGCGCGGTCATCAGAAGAGAATTCAGATGCGCTGTTATCAGATCACTCAGGAGGTGAAATGAATACCCAATCAAATTCTGACGAAAGAGACCTAGAAGAAAATGGTCTCCCCAAAGTTCAAGCTCCAAATGGAGAGGGTGATGAAGGCAGTGAAGGAAATGACCAAGAAAAGAAAATGAAATCAAGTTCAGAGCACGCATTGAGCTCTAGAGATCATCTAGCTGAAAATCAACCTTCAGAAGTGGCAGGGCATGAGAGTGAAGCCATGGACAGCGATGATAAAGAAAATGCTTTAGTAGCTTCTGATGATAACAGGTATAAGTCTAGTCCATCTTGCACATTCTATTCCTAGAGGGTATGCTTCTTATTATCTCACACTTCATTATAAGTAATGCTTTTGTACTTTTTCATTAAATTTGTTACAGAAATTTTGATCATAATAACAACAACAATTGCGGAACAAAAATTCTTGGCAGGCAGGAGACGTCTGAAAACACTAAAAAGGTTCCTTGTTCTTTTGTTACATTTTTTTCAAGTTAACCAAAATTCTCTCTAGGTTTGTGTGTGTGCGTATGCATGTGTGTATAACTTTTGAAATTTGTGTAGGTGGTTGCTCTGATGGTGGAGAAGAATTTAAAAGAAGGGCTCACTACTACCGGCGCTAGTGCTCAAGAAGTGAAGTATAGAAAACCAAAGACAACCCACCCCAAACCTTTCAGGCTGAGAACTGACGTAAGAAGCTCTTCCCTCCCACCCCACCACCACTTTTAGTTTTCAAGAACATATACTTGATGATGTATTTTATACTGATTTAGGAAAGAGGGATTCTTAAGGAAGCAAACTTTGAGAGAAAAAATCATTTTCTAGCTCCTCAGAAAGAAGTTGCAGTAGTTCCAAAATTCTCCAGTGGAAACTCACAGAAAAGGCAAGGAGGACATGATATCCAAGTGAGTATTTTCCTTTTCGGTCATTCAATGTGAGGACGATTTATTTTTATATACCATGGAAGAACAGAATTTACTCAAAGAATTCGCTTTTGATCCAGAGGAATGAAAAGTGCCTTGAACAACAAAAATGTGGCAATGATACACATGAAGGGAGTGAAAAAGAGCTAGAGGAAAATATTCAGAAGGTTGAATGTGTAAGTCTTTATATTTATTTTTCTAATTGTTGTTATACATTTTCAGAGGTCGTCATATATGCTGTTGAGGTTTTAATAAAAGGGGTTTTCTGAAAACACATAAAATTTTTTAATTGTGGCAACAGAAAAGCAAATCAGGACTGAAGATTTCAAAAGGTCAAGTGCGACCAAGAATATCTATGTTAACACCACAGAGATGCTCTGCTTTGACACACCAGCAATCTATACCGGTTATTTCCCATCTTGAAGATGGCAAGGATAGCATGTCTAAAAAATCAGAGAACCACCGCTTAAGAAAGACAAAATCTTCTTCATTGGAGCGACAACTTATTAGGCCTCAACGGTGAGTAGTAATCTTACTTGTTCATTATCTCAAACAATGAAGAAAATGCTCTTCTAAGACTAACTTTAGCTAGCCTGTTTTTATTCAGGGTTGCATCAACCAAGAAGGCATTGATTTCTCACATGACACTGGGTCAACAACTAGGTGTGATAAAGGAAACTTCATCTACAATCTCAAGACCCAAGGAAGCAGGAAAGCTGAGTGAGAGTTGTACTCCACCAGCAACCAAAGCTATTGCTTCTGTTGCTTCTTCCAGGGTATCATCACAGAGAAGAAGGCCTGCAACTATTCCAAAGAAGCCAAACTTTCACAATGTCCATGTACCAAAGAGTTGCGCAAGGAAAGCGACTTAGGTTTTCATCATAATTTACTCCTAGATCCAGTGTATCATATTCTGTTTTGTTGTTCAATTATTTATTGAATCCTTACGCTGGCTTGAATTTGGTTAAGCAGCTGGGTTTTTTCTTTTTCAGTAAAAGATTGATCTTTGGGAGCCCCCTCAGGTTTTAGTGTTCCCAAATCATTTATTGTATCCATAAATTTGAAGAAATGCAATGCATTTCGTTCTTTCTTCCGCTTTTGCGCTAAGAAAATTGTATTTTAGCAATCAACAAAGTTATGAATAGTGTGTCAAATATTTTTTGATCATTCCTTGGTGTTTGCTGCTTATAGGAGTTTTTGGGTATTCTGGTCGATATACATATCAAGGGAAAAAACAATGAAGAGCAAAACTGACATGGTAGACAATAGAACTGAGAGTTGTTAAATTGGATGTAGTGAGTCATGAAAAGAAAAAGGCTCTCGTCCTAAAATCTTTCTGAGAAGCAAAATTTGTTTTGGTAGGTTAGTTGCACACCCAACTCAAACACCTCACTATTTGCCTCTTGCATATTGAACCCTTAACCTGCCACACATTAGTACCATTTGAACTTAGCAGTTTGGTGGTTCTAAGAAGCAATTTTGAGCCCAAAGAAAATGGTGCTATGATTGTGAAAATGGAAAATGGAAAATGGAAAATGAGTGCTATAATGAGTGCAGAGCTGGTGGTGAGAGAGAGTTTTCATGATACAATAAAATACACTTCAAACTCTAGATAGTTATGATGGCAATAGTGATACAGTACTGCAGGAAGAAAGTAAAAGGGCAAAAAACACAAAGCAATTAATTTCGGTGGCACAGGAAGAGTGGATTACTAGGCCAGAAGTGCCAAGTAGAAAGGGAACCAATTTATTTCTGTGCATTTATGATATCATCAAAGGCTCCTTATCATTCATCTTTTCAAATGGGCAAAGTTGACCACGTAGGTCATATTCTCAAAGGCAAAAAAAAAAAAAAAAACAGATTATTCATAGCGAGTTCTCTTGTAGATATCAAACACATCATTGGAGAGTATCCCCACATTTTATGGGTTATAATCGGGGACTATGATTAAGCCAGATTGCTGCAAATTTGCTGTGATGTGTGCTGCACCTAGCCATTCTAGGACCCGTTTTTCTTGATTATGTTTTTCAGCTTCTCATTTGCAGCAACTAGTTCTGCTGCTATTCCTGGTTCATTAGCAGAGTGTCCTGCTTCTGGAACAATCTGTTGCACAACAAAATATTTTATTGATTTCATATTTACATAAGCAAGAAAGGGATAAGAGTTCAATATTATTTATTCTGTTGAGATAAATTCCAAGATGACTCTTAAATGGAGATGAAAAATAAAATAAAATGCTTTCACAGCACTACCATCACATCAAGCTGATCTCCATGCACCAAATATATTTGACATAAGCAAGGATAGCAAAATTTGTACACTACAGGCAGAAGTCTAGCAATAGGTAATTAGAAACTAAATATCTTTTACAGAAATTTGAAATGTATCTAATATGTGACGATAAAATATAAACCAATGTCTAACAAAATTCTCTATCAGTTCTTGTAGCCATTATAGTGGAATAAATGAAGCACTAGTGATACTCTAAACTTCAAAAGGGATAGAAAAATTAGTCCTATAAATGAAAAAACAAAAAAAAAAAAAAAAATCATAATAAAGGGTCTAAAAAGGCTTTCTGCTTCCAAACTGTCCTGTGGCAATGTCCACTTCGAACACACTACGAACTGCATTTTGGTTTAGCCAAAAAAAAAAAAAAAAAAAACAGACACCTGAATTGCTGAGTAAATATTACTGAACACTTGAACCCCAATGTCCAAGACGTGTATCATTTTACCCCGATACAAGAAAGAATTGTCTAAATTGATAAGGATTTCCTCAGTCCTTTTTTTGTCATTTCCTTTCATCGCCACAGCACAAACGAGAGGTCATCATGTCTCTTTGCAGAACCTCAACCAAATCTTTTTGGCATTTAGTTCACCCTTGTAGTAACTTTAAGTTGGCCCATTGTGCAATTTCTGGTCTTTATTGCATAAGATAAAAAAATATAGAGAAGAACCATAGCAGTGTGAGTGATAGAGAGGAGAGTGATCAAGTGATCCAGAACAGAGTGACACGGAGCCGTTCTTTCATGTACAAAGTTGTCATTTGGATTTTCTATTTTATTTATGCAATAATAATTTATAAGTAGTAAGGTTAATAGAGTAATTTTGCAAAGTATCTAACGGGATCTTTTTGGTAGTTATACAGTTGGACCTAGTTGCAAACTTTTGATATTTGAAGGGGGCAAATTTCATTCCGGGGGCAAATTTGTAAAAAAAGTAATAGTACTGGGGGAGAGGGGGTGGCAATTAACCTTACTATTTATTACAAACTATCTTAATATAATTTAGTAGTAATTTTCGTTGTTTTATCTCAAGGAGTATCAATAATCGGTATCTATGCCATTCTGGAATCTCAAGATGATGTATGTTTACCATAATCTTTTTCACTGAACCGGTCTATCAACCTTGTCTCATCACTTATCAGTCTTTACGTGAGACTATGGAATCCCAACGAAACTCATTCTCATAACATCAGAACATATGACTATCTTATCGCATTTAATAGCCACCCTAATGCCATCATAATCATGCTTACAACCCATACCGGATCATCATGCCAACTCGATCGAGCAACACCAGTTCACATGTGGAATACAACACTATCCAAATTTATCATCTACAACCCACAATAAGCATAAAAAAGAACACGTAGTTCCAGATGAAGAACCGTACACATTAAAAAGAAGGGAGTAGGAAAGCTTTCTGCTATTTACTACAAAAGAAGAATTGGCAAAAAAAAATTAATAATGACACAGATACAGGATACGAACAAGACACACTAACTGGTCTACCTTTGTCTTAGTGGCTTTGGGTCTTAAATTCCAACCTAGGTCCAGGTTTCAAGACTGGTAGGGAGAAGAAGAAGATGAAGGGGAAAAAAAACAGGACACAGGACATCCTGACATTACAAATCCTTCAAAAATGGCACAGTTACCTCAAGGACACCACAACATTTACGTATATATATTGCATTTATTAAAATTCGAATTTTTATGTATCTATGTAAAAATTTTAAATAATAATTCTGGTCATACTGGATCCTTTTTAGATTATATGGATTAAACATGAATCATGTCCATAGGATTCAATTTGGATTCAGATCTGGATATGGACTCGGACATTAAAATATAGATCCAAGTCTAGAGATGGGGATATGTATTCACATGGATCCACTTTACTTCAAGCCCTAACCGGACACATTCAATAGGATCCAAGGAGTATCAATATCCATTATGGATAATACGCAATGTACTAGCAAATGCAAAATATCAATACTGAGTAAGGCAGATGGCTGAAAGCACTTCTCCTACCTTAAGATCTGCCTCTGGCCAAGCTTTATGAAGATCCCACGCCGACATCATGGGGCAGCACATGTCATATCTTCCCTGCAAAATTATTTAAGATAATGATTATTCCAGATTCAGGTACAGAACTTGAATTCTACAGAGTCTTTTAGGCGCCGGCTTCCTGCTGCATGTATAGTATTATATATGATGAACATTTTGATAAGATGCATGAACAAACACTTCTAAAAGGACTGTCCACGAGCAGAAAGATACCTGTACAATTACAGTATCAATATGCCTTATCTTCTCAACATTATCTAACAGGAATGACTCTGAAGGAAAGAACCCTCTGTTCACAAAGTAATGGTTCTCAATTCTTGCGAATGCCTGTAGGGAACAAATTAAGTTCATATCATTAAAAGAAGAAAAAACTGAGCCATGTTAAACAATCACAATAAAGCTGCCTAATCATAAGATCTGATCACAAATTGCAGATGCTCATAACTTCAAAAGAAAAACATTTATACCAAGTTGAAAGTATCTAAAAATGGTATTAAGAAAAATTAAGATAAGATTAATTGCATACTCTTCATTAATCCAGCTAATTCGTATATTTAGCACCATCAATGACGCCATAAGCTCGGGCTTTCTTCTAAATAAGATAAAGGGAATTCATGAATTTTTGGTTCAGCATTAAGTTTGAACAGGGAGTACCATTGCAGTCCACTTAGGTCCCCTACTCAGAGACAATCCCACTGATGAGGCCTTAAAAATTCCAAAATAAAGGTAAAGCATCCTAGGAGGACAAACTTTTAAAGAATTTGTTCCCAGAGCATATGTTTCTCGTCTTGAAAAAAAAAAAAAAAAATTGGAAAATGAAACTTGATGTCACTGTCGCATTGCAAATTGGCAAAGTGTTGCAAGGCTAATGATTCAATCAGGTTTAAATGATAATATTTGGGCCGTTTTCAATCTAAAACAAAACATACACCCATTTGTGACACTTAAATTATGAGATCAAATTTGAGTTTCACCAACAATCCCTAAATCTAGAACCAAAATAAGATTTATAAAAAATCACCAATTGAATCACTTATCTGTAGTCAGAATTTGTACTGTTGAAAAAAGAAAAAAAGAAAAAGGTTACTGAATATTGAATCTATAGAAGATAAAATTTGGATTTAGATGGCCATAAAGCACATGGTAATTAGTCATATACAATATACAACAACAAAAGGGGGTGTGGGTGTGTGCTAAAGTAACTCACCAATGAAAACTTATCATCATCCCCTTTCTTGATATTCTCTTCATTTGGAAGAAGATGAGCAGTCATCATTTCCCATTTGGTCCATGCTCTAGCAGCTGCATACTGAGAACAAATAAAAAAATTGCTAATGATAGATTCCCAGAATATAACAGTACATGCAGATTCACAATCAATCAATGATATTCTGCATGAGGGGGTTATATTGATATCGCCGTACCAGATACACCCCTTTGGCTGCATTTGGGGTTACAGAAAACTAAGCACCCGCAGCAGTTCAAGAGAACTCCCACTAAAACTGTTTTGAAAAAAAAAAGACCAATACCATAGAAATTAAGCATTGTGTTATTTCTGGTCAAGAAGCTTCCTTTATTTAGTTTTTTTGTAAGATGCCCGGCTATAAATCTCTCATTCATCATAGATATTACGAATACCTTGATTATAACAAAAATGAAACTATAAACCATGCCTCGTCCACAACTTCTACATTTCTAGATGTTCTCCGTTGAGCATCACGGAGCAGGCAGTTGACATAGACCTTCTTGTGTTGTAAGGACATAACATTATGAATTCATTCCAAGCAAATTTCAACAATCCATACAAAAGTATACAGTTCCATGTATTTAAACCGTGTTAAATTTAGGGAGCAATTTTTCAATAACCAGAAAGGGCTCAGAAAAAAGTAAGGCATGCATCAAGACCTGGAAAATAACTCTTACTTGTGTATCAATGTCATCAGAGTTTAATCTCTTGCTGTACGCACTAACAAAACATCCCCTTTCATTTTCTGGAATAAGATCTCTAAATGGCTCCCAAGCTGTACAACAAGAAAAAATGCAGAAGCATTCAGCCACCTTAATAAAACAACATGCTTGGTGGTCCAAATAGAGTCAAGGCAACATATCAGAGACATAGATTACGAAACGCTAGTCTAAGAACACTCTTTCATCCCCATCACACCCAACCCATCGATGAAATCACCAGGTTAAAGTGCTTCATTGTGTACCAGTGTATGGTTTCTAAACCAGAGATCAATGAGCGGGTTTACTGCATTTAGGTAACAGGCTAGTGTGTAATACAGAGTCATATGTGATATATATATATATATATATATATATATATATATATATTGGTAAAGGTCATATGTAATAATGTGGAATACTCAAAAAACATAAAATCTTATTGAATGTTTTAAAAAAGATGGTATAAAAGTGCAGTACAAAGAGTTCCTAAATAAAGCATACATCTCTGGAAAGTATTTCTACGGATTTGAATGACATATCCTAATAATATGCCACGAGACATTGTTGTCATTGGTAGAGTTTGAAATCTGGAGGGAAGTTTTGTGGATTGAATTACCCATTCAGTATTAGATGTACTAGAACAAGATACAAAAGAGAAAAAGGCAGACAGAGCAAAAGAAGCATACCATCAGGGTAAACAGCAGCAGCACCACCCTCATAAAACCAATCAATCTCTTTTTTCCGCAACAGAAAGATCCCTCTAAGGACAATGCCAGTAACCTTAAAATAAGGAAATGAAAATATGTCAGTAACTGATACTTTTGTTATTGGACAAGGAAAAACTGACATTATCCACTTCTTGAGGCTTGAACAAGAGAAACAATGACAAACCAGACACAAGAAGCACCTTATCAGGATGTGCTTGGCTGTATGCAAGAGCAAGTGTGCTTCCCCATGACCCACCAAACACCTGCAGAATCAAATGGATTAAAAACATATAAAGTCCCATCCCCCAAAATCACTCAACCAAACAAACTTTCAACCTGCCATTCTGGAATTTCCAGATGTTCTCTTAGCTTTTCAATGTCTCCAATTAGATCCCATGTGGTGTTCTCCACTAAGCAAGCATGGGGCGTACTCTTACCTGCACCTCTCTGGTAGAAGACAAATTCTCTTAGTACAAGCAATTTTAAAGGCCTGAGAAATACCTTAGTCCTTAGCAAAACAATTTAAAAACTAAACCTGATCAAATAGAACGATCCTGTAAAAATCAGGATCAAAGAATCTCCGGTTACTTGGTGATGTTCCACCTCCTGGGCCTCCATGGACAAAAACAACTGGCTGCAAGGGTTAAAAAGATCTTCAGAAAGCTGCAAAAAATGTATAGTCATGCAATACGGACATTCTATATCTCTCCGAGTAAAGACCACACGAACCCACTAAGATGTCAACTATATAAACATTGCATCAACAAAATCTCCTCATATCTGTAATATCAAGCTCTATACTCCCAGATAATGACATGTTTTATACTCTCGAAATCTATCTGGAGTTCATAGAACTGTTAAATCCATCCGAAACAAATTTCCAAGGTCAGGTAAATGTCATTTTTACAAGATTACACATGCACCAGAGACAAGAAAAACTAATGAGAAAGAAAACAATATAATTTCTTAAATTTGAAATTTGAGGGGATGTCTGGACAACCCAAGTAACTAAACTAAAAAAACCGTTGGTGCAATAGGGAGACATCACCATAATCACCAATTTAAGTAAATAAGCGAGGTCATTTCTGAAACCATGAAAAGTTTTCCTTATTTTGCATACAGTCTTACAAGAAAGACAAAATAAACAAATTTATATGACAAACACAATGAGCTATTTGACCATTTCAAATAATACATAAAACTGTGGACTAAATTCAATTGTCATCTACCAACGGGCCAGTGGCCTAGCGGTATCAGCTTCTTACTTCCCAAAGGGAGGTCAAGGGTTTAATTCTCAGAAGAGACCTGTGTGTGTGAGTACCAACTAGGAAAAAAAAAAAAAAAAAAAAATTCAATTTTCATCTGACATTCAAATATATAAATGCCTTACTGCCATTTGACAAAATGGCACAGTCACACCAACTGTGGTTTATGTTATGGTTTTTCTCTCAACATATATAGATGAAGTAGAAATATAAAGTGAATTACAGAATTAAAATTTCAGCAACTAAACTAAGTGATGGTCTCGAATGATTAGACGTTGAGAGGAGAAGAAATTTAAGAACGATCCTACTCACATGCCCATTCGGATTTCCTGATTGCTCCCAGTAGATTGTGTGAAGATCCGAAACCTTCAAGAAGCCCGTACTATACGGCTCTATATCTGGATAAAGGTTCCTATTTAACTCCGGAAATTCTTTCCTCAGATCCATCGAGTCACTTAGTTGGTGCTCACTCTTACAGTCAACACTTTGAGCACGTATTACTAAATTCTTCCTTCCTGCAAAACCAAACAAACATAGCAAATCTATAGGCTACTAAAACTAGAAAATTTAACTTTCAGCTTCAGGAGTTATACTGTTGTCACTTGTCGCCTATGTGTTGTGTACACAATAACTAAACCCAAGCACCAGAGAGAGAAATTGCTAAAATATAGTTATACAATCACAGGGAAAAAAAAAGCACAAAAATGCATACATAAAAACGTTTACACATATATACATAAATGTATATATATGCAATTCGCACCACAAAAAATAAAATAAAATAAAATAAACACACACAATAACTTCTTTCAAGATAATAGCTTTAGCTAGAGAGATGCAAATGAATTAGTACATGAAAACGTGTAATATATATATATATATATATATATATATATATATAAGCAATTAACGTGATGAAACGGAGAGGAGAATAGGTAAACACACGATTTTCGATTATTTTTAAAGAATTATTATACAAATGTAATCTCTATTCCAATGATTCATCCAATAAAAAAGATAATTTGTGCGAATTTTGCATCAAAATTACTTAAAGATTTGAGAAAATAGAAGGATGAGAAATGTAGAGAGAGAAAATACCTGAAACCAGTAAATTCCTGTGTGGAAGAATTGGGGAGTGAGAGAGGAGAGAAGGGATGAGTGTGGGAATCAGAGGAAGAGAGTGAAGAGAAAACTTCGGATTTAGCACCAACCCTAACCCTAACCTCATCGACAACGCTACTTATGATAATTGCGTGCGTCGAAATCAAGCTGATTTTTCAGGTAGAATTTTTGTCTATCCAATGAATCCAATCCCATGCCAAAGTTGTACCATCAGATTCCCATTATAAATTTTATATAATATATAATATAGTATTTTATATTGCAATTTTGAATGTTTGCTACTAGTATTTTCAAGTTTCTCCGTTTGTCCGCATGTATATATGGGCCATATGGCCTATTTACTGATGTATATATAGTTTTTTTCTCTCTCTTTCTGATGTATATATAGTTTTTTATTTACTTTTTAAATAGGTTCGGGGTGGACTTATTATTTAAGATACGTGTCAATTGATTTGTCAAATAAATTTAAATATTAGAGAAAATTACATATAAATGGAGTCAAAGTTCCATATTTACTTAAAGACTGAGTCAAAGTTCCATATTTCTCTAAAATGGATTGCTGAGGTGGCACATGGTTTTTTACTGTTTAAAAAATTGTGGTGCCTAAAATGCCCTTCCCTAACAAAAAAGTAGTACCTTCAGTTCAAAAAAGTAGTACCTTCAGTTCAAAAAAGTAGTACCTTCGGAGAAAAAGTAGTACCTTCGCGGGTGTTTAAAAAACATGGTACCTGGACCCCAAAAAGTAGTACCTTCAGTTCAAAAAAGTAGTACCTTCGAAGAAAAAGTAGTACCTTCGCGGAAGGGTATTTTAGGCACCACAATTTCTAAACAGTAAAAAACTATGTGCCACCTCAGCAATCCATTTTAGAGAAATATGGAACTTTGACTCAGCCTCTAAGTAAATATGGAACTTTAACTCCATTTATATGTAATTTTCCCTAAATATTATTACTTGAATAATTATTTTTTTAATAGAAATATTTTTCTAGGGTTAAAAATATGTTTGTGAATATTACTTTATTCTCCAGATTTGTTGGGATTGTAATTGATTTAAAAAAATAGTCTCGAGTTTAAGTTAGAAACGAAAATAAAAATCAGGTAACAGTCTCCTTGAATTGTTTTTAAGAGTTCATGTATCAATTGTTTTTGTTTTGCATTTTGAATTTCATATAAAATATGGAGTAACTAATAGATATTGAGTTCAACCAACCAATTTTCTTTTCCTTTTTTTTTTTTTATTTAAAATGTCTAGTGCACAATTAGTTAAATTAGAGCAAATAGAGTTTTTATTTTTTTTACCCCGACACACACAAAGATTTTCTAACAACAAAGAGACAAGTGCATGAGCCCATTTACAGTAGATGGACAAATACATGGAGCACAGTAACATCAACTTGAACGCAAGGACAACAAAATCCACCAGAAGTGATTGGATCACAGACTCCGTAAGAACAGGACTCCGAAAAAACAGGACAACAGCATTGACCACCTCGTACCTCTATCTATAAACAGAATTAACCCAAGCCGAGGGGATAACCTGGAATATCATACGCATATCGAAAAAAGAAACACCAAAATATGACATAAGGTAGCCGTAAAACAACAAGACACCGCTGTAGTAGTTTAGTTTATGGAATAATACACGAGTGCTAGCCAGAATTACTAGGGATAGAACGAAAGCAGTAGTAGTAGTGCATTAATTAATTACTAGTAGTAGATGGGCAAGAATGCGCAAATCTTCTTCATCCCATACTCTAACATGGCATCATTGTCTATGATGAAGGAGTAAGAACACCAATCCTCGGCGGAAATGCGGGCGTTTGGCCCCGTTCAGCACGGAAAACATCAATGTTAACATGAGTCATACCGGGTGTAAGTTGAGGCGTAGACTGGAGAAGACCAAAGCGCATGTCGCCCACATGAACAACAAAGGCTTGCGAACCAAACAGAAGCCGGCAGCTTCTCAACAATGCTGACAGTGGTTGCTTCCCCAGTCCTTTGGTATCCCAATGGATCCCAAAATGGCAAAGCATAGAGGTTGAGGTAGCCGTCGGTTTTGCTACCATTTAATTGAAACAAGTAATCACCAGCCTGAACACCCCCAACCAGATGGATATGGAGCGTAACAAAAATTAGAAAAGGATGGCAACTCGGGGTGCTGGGGACGAGGCACAGTTGGATCACCGTGCCAATCCCAAACGGATGGCCTCAAATCATAGGAAAACAAACCTGCATCATACGTCATGATGAAAATGGTGTGGGTGACCATGGCATAACAGTCAACTGAAAAAATAAGCTCATCCCAATCCTCAATGTGATTGTGATCCACATCTGGCCCCAAAATATAACCCCATTCATCAACCACTGGGTCGTATGACTCCATGCCAAACCGAACACTCTCCTCATCTATTACACAAAATTTCCCCTCATAGGGTCCGACAATCTTCCGGTGATACTTACCCTTATTCGGATATCACCCCAACAGTATCGTACACACAAACACAAACATTCCTGCATTTTTTTATTGGGTTGTAATAGTAGTCATTTTCTACTTCTATATATCCTCCCACCATGAATATTTGGGATCCTACAGAGAAAAACCCCATTCCTGGAGGCATTTCATTTTCATTTTCATTTTCGATTTTAATCTCCAACCATCATGAAATTAGACACCGCACTCTAAGGCAAATAATTATTACTAGATGTTCATGTATTTTTCTGTCAAATTATGTTCATACTTTGAAGAGTGCCGCAATAATAATAGGAAACTTCGTCCAAGAGGCTTTCGAAGTGCAACTCTCATGGCTCATATTTCGGCTAGAGATTGGCTCTCATCATCTGTTAGGATCCGTCTCACACTGTGCGAATACCATTCGCATTGTGCTATACAATCGTTTACGATTTTTAAAACACGTCTACACATAAAAAAGAGACATCCACTTTTTGATGAGGAAGAATTTCACCGTTGGCAACTACGTCTAGACAATATCTTCTGAAAAATGGAATCATGAAAAACCATAGTGTGTTGTTTAGTTCTGCTTCTTCCAAAACTTAAAAGAGCTTAAATAGGAATGGATAATTTCTTAATCCAAAAGGAAAATAAGAAAATCTCATGATGTTGAATCAAGATTGCGCATAGAAACATAAGAAGCATTGTTCTTTGAATGGTGTCCAATAATTTGAATATGCACAACAGAATAAAACTCATCACACAAGTTTCAGATTCCCAACATGTAGGCTTTAAAATAGATTTCTATAAATTCGTTCACTTTTTTTTTTTTTTCATACAACTTCTGCTTCTTTCATCTTCTGATTTCTATAAAACAAACAAAAAAGGGGGAAAAAAAATGATATTTACACATTTCTCAACTTGGGACAAAATTAGGCCCTCCAACAAATTACAAGGTGAAGTAGTTGGGTGGAGGGTGAACAATAGGAGTCTTTGACATGGTCTTGTTCCCCATGAGCACATTTGGTGCCACAGTATCCTCCACAACAACAGGATTAACCTGCATCACTTTTTCTGGCACAACTTTGTCTCCGTCAACCTTAGCCAAGATCTCAAAGTTCATCCTCACGGCCTCAGGCTTCGTCCTCCACGCTGGAAAACCCTCCAAATCAGACCCAGTACTTTGGTTCAATTTCTTCTCCAATGCAAAACTTATCTTCACAAACGTCTGAGCGGATACATCCGCTTTCAACAATTTGAAAGAACCTTCCTTATTAGCTTTTGAACCTAGCACAGAAGATAGCAGCTTCTCAAAACCAAGTAAGTTAGAATTTGAGCCATTGATTGAAGGAAGAGGCCATAGTGTGGTGAGTTGATCTGGAGTTAGAAGGGCAGAGGTTTCTCCTTGGAGATCAATGGCAGAAGCTGCTTCAATAGCTTTGGTTTTTGACGGTGAAGACAGCTCCACAAGGCCTGGAGCAAGGCGCTTAAGCTTGAGTTTGTTATCAGAAGAGCGTGATGAGGAAGGGGATGCAAGGGAGGTAGGGCCAACAATGCGGAGGGAGACGAGAGGGGCTTGTTGAGTGCGGGAAGAATGCCGGAGACTATCAGCCAGATTTAGTAGACCTGATGCAAAATCATTGTGGGTTTGGTTTAAGGGAAGTGGAAACTCAATTGGGTGCCGCAGGCTAACTGATCTGGCACCCTTGACGGTAACAACAGCTCCATCTGCTAAGATTACTTTCTTCAGTACACCGGCATCCACATCATGCTGTAACATTGAAGCAATAACAAAGTCAATACATAGGCCCAAAATTACTCCTATTATCTTTAGACAATTATGAACCATCAATGTACCAATATGATTATGCACCCTAAAGGTGTCTTCAGGAACCTATATTTGGATTTGATTTTTGAACTTTTGAAATCCAGCTGATAAGGATAGCAAAAAAAAAAAAAACAAAAAACAAAAAACAAAAAATAAGAAGAAGAAGAAGAAGAAGAAGAAGAAACTTTCAAGTTCTTAAGAGTAAGTCAAGGATTTCAGATAATCCAACTCCATTTGTGGATTCCAAAATATCCCAGATCAGCACCATACAGTGAACATGGTTTTGGGGGGCTAAAATCCAGTGCCACTATTTAACTCCACAAAAATCAGATGCTAATTAAATCTTTCACCTGACTAAGTAGGATTAAATAAAGCTGTTCAATATGTGTAAATATAATGGGCAAGGAAGGTTCCAATAGAATAAATTCCAAATGTCATATTTCAGAAACAAATTACTGCTTCAACGTGCAATACCCAGGCCTTTATCATATATAACCAGGATTTGCATTTCAAAGACAACGAGAAGGGAAAGAGATGAACATGCTTGAAAGTGAATGTTTATGTCGTTATTTAACCAATTCCAAGGATTTTATTTCCTTTGCCACTTACAGAAAACCATCATAAAGAAAAGATGAACATACTACTTACTCACTATCCTTTCTCTCCCAATCTTCTCATTTTTGAGAGGATAGCAACACGAGGGATTCGGAGGGATAGCTATCCAAACACGATTTCCATTATCCTTTGGTTTCTTTTCTTTCCAAATCCCTCCAAATCACTCAATCCAAATGAAGCATAGGAAATTCAACTCTTAAAAGTGAAAGCAGGCATTTGGAGGGAATTTAACACAACTCACTCTTGATCTCAATTATACAAGAACTAGGATAAGAATCTCCCACGTTAACTAAGGCAGTTTAAAGCACACAAACAAGTTAAATAGATGCAATACAAACGAATCATGAACTTACCGGCAACGAAAGCCTCATGTCCTTTGCATCCTGAATCCAGAGTTCCATCGGACCCGCCAACTGAAAAGGAGCCAAAACCGGCAAACCCTTTTCCAATTTATGCTTCTCCACTAAAGCATTCTCCTTGCTCGAGTCCTCCACTCGAAATATTGGCAAATCCACGAACTCCCATCGGTTCACATCCTCCAAAAGCTTAACAGGGAGAACTTTATTATCAAATTGAACTTCGAATTCATACGCCGCAGATTGCCCCACCAATGCATCTCTGAAATCAAACCCAGATATCACCAAATCTTCCGTTTGAAACCCTAATCCCTTGACAATCACGTCCTTCAAATCCTAAAATTTAAGCAAAATAATAATTAATTCAAAAGTAAGAAAAAACTGTTTCTTCTCTGTGAAATATGGGACCCGATTGAATATAACCTATACAAAGACAATTCTCCCAAAATAGCCTTTATTATAATTGAGTTTTAAAAAAAATTAACCAAGCAGAAATTTTGTACTGTTTTCTGAACTGTTATTAAAAAATAGAACCAAACATGCCCTTAAATTTTAACCTTAAATTCATACATTCAGAAACTAGGATCGCCAAGAAAGCACATACTAACAAAAAGTAAATTTATTTCTTTGATTTTCTAATAATTTTTCTTGCCAAACAAACGAAAAAAGAAACGGAAATTATGATGAATAAGATAAACTTACAGAGATGGCTTCGGGATAGCGATAATTGCGGTGTGGCGTGGAGTTGAGAGCCATGGACGATGATTGAATGGTTAAAAGGACGAGACATATTGTTGAGAAACGGAGTGATTTGGTAGGTGCCATTGTAGAGAGAGAGAGAGTTGGAGTTCGGAAGATTTAGAGAGAGAAAGGGAAAGAGATCTCTTGCTTCTTTGGATGGAAAATTGGGCTTGTTGGGGATCGAAGGTTGTACCAGTGAATAGGTTTTAAGAATGAGAAGAGAGAGATGACGTGGATTAAATGGACCAATGAGAATAGAGGAAGTGATGCGAAAAGTGAAGCTCATTGGTTTGGGGGAGGAAAGTTCGTTATTTTGACGTGGGAATAACGGTGGGACACGTTAAATTGCCGGGAAATTACGTGGTCGAGCTGCATCGCCCCGAGGACACGTCAAGGTCAATATAGTGTGACTTTTTTTTTTTTTTTTTTTTTTTTTTTTTTTTTTTTTTTTTTTTTATCGCCGGGAAATTACGTGGTCTGCTTAGCCCCGATGACACGTCAAGGTCAAGGTCAAAATATATATATGTGTGTGTGTGTGTGTGTTTGTGTGTGATGTTTTTGTTTTTTCAAAAATAAAATTGAATTTGGATGAATTGAAAAATCTAAACGTTAATTTTAATTCAATTTTAATTTTAATTTTTTTAAAAAAATTCTCTTTCACTTTGAAAGATGAGGACAATCTAATTCAAAATTTGACATAATGAACTTAATTTGAATTTTAATGTGATTATATATATTAATTTTCTAGTGCATTAATTCTGTAATAAATTATGAAATATTCTAAAAAGTTTAACATCATCGTAAATTATCATACTGCATAATTAGATTATATGAATGTTTTAATCTTTTTATTATATTTTTGTCTATAAAGAAATTTTATTATTTTTATATTTGTAATTTATGAAAATTAAAAGATTAATCCATATCCATTCCGAGTTTGATTTCAATTTGAATTCCAAGTTGGTTTTCTTATCTCAAACTAAACTCTCAAGAACTTCAAGCATGGACTTGACTCAAAATTCACATAAGCATTATATAAAAAAGATTGTCTATTTATTTAAATAATTGTGTCCTCATATATACAATAATTATAAAATAACATATTGCAGCAAAGAAAATGCACCCCTAAAATTAAAATAATCATAGGTCTAACTAACATACATATTTATAAAAATATCCATATTTTCTTTTACTTTTTTACTTTTAAGTTCTCCTTACTTAGCTGAGCATAATTTAAAAAAATATATATCTATTGACAACTAAAAATGTTTAATCAAAAGTAACTACAATTCTTAACACTAATATCCAAAAAAATAAGTGAATTGAGTGAGTTTATATTTAGAACTCAAATAAATAAATAAATAAATAAAAGTAACTAAGTGGACATGGACTCAACAACCACCATCACACGGCACTCGCCTTTTTCCTTCTCTGTTGCACACTACTGGCGTTATCCCTGATAAGTGGCAGTTAACTTTCGTCGTATTCCGTCAAACAGTTATCATTTCTCACTCTGTTTTTTTTTCTTCCTCCAATTCTATATTTATCCCCAATCTTGGCTTTGGTTCTGCATACACAATCCCTAGAATCGAAAACAATGACAACAACCCTAGAGCTCCGAGACCTCGGAAACACAGGCCTCAAGCTCAGCTGCGTCGGCTTCGGCGCTTCCCCTCTCGGCAACGTATTCGGCCCCGTCTCCGACCACGACTCCATCGCCTCCGTTCGCGAAGCCTTTCGCCTCGGCATCAACTTCTTCGACACCTCTCCGTACACAATCTCACTCACTTTTTGGTTTTCGAAACTTTTTTATTTGATGTGTTCACAGTATTGGATTCTTGATTTTGTGTTTTGGGTTCGATAATTTTTTAGGTATTATGGGGGGACATTGTCGGAGAAAGTACTTGGGAAGTGTTTGAAAGCTGTTGGAGTGCCCAGAAATGAGTACATCGTGGCGACGAAGTGTGGGAGGTATGCTGAGGGTTTTGATTTTAGTGCAGAGAGAGTGACTAGGAGCATTGATGAGAGCTTGGAAAGGTTGCAGCTTGATTATGTTGACATACTACAATGCCATGATATTGAATTTGGATCTCTTGATCAGGTACTCAATTTGGTACTGATTTTAATTTGGGAGTGTTTTAATTTAGGATTTTTTTTTGGAATTTGGTTGTTGTGGTCTGTTGTTGAATATGGTCTCTTAGTTTCATCCATTTCTTGGTCTCCTAATTAGGTGTTAGATTGGGTTTACTAGTCTTTCCAAATCCTATGATCAGGTGCTGTGTTGGGTGTTCTTAGTTTGTTTATTGCGTATATGGATCTCTCATTTAAGTGTTAATTTGGGTATGGTATTGCTATTTTTGGTTCCAGGCTTTCTGATTTTGATTTTCCTACTTTTCCTTTATGAATTTGTATATTAGGTTTTGAATTGGGTTTTTAGTAGTTAAAATTTTGGAATATTGTCTCTTGAGTTTTGATCAGGTGCTGAACTGGGTATTACTATTCTTCATTTATAGATCTTTTTAGTTGGATGCAATTTTGTCTTTTTGAATTATGTTGTAACATGCAAAACTTCACTATGTCATGTTACTTTAATACTTATATTGTAGAGAGGTAATGGCGAAACTTAGTCGGTTTTGTTTGGTTTCTGAGCAGATTGTAAATGAGACGATTCCTGCGCTGCAGAAAATAAAGCAAGCAGGGAAGATTCGGTTCATTGGTATAACTGGACTTCCGTTGGGAGTTTTTACTTATGTTCTTGATCGGGTGCCACCGGGTACAGTTGATGTGATTCTGTCATACTGTCACTACAGTATTAATGATTCTACACTGGAAGATTTACTGCCTTACTTGAAGAGCAAGGGTGTTGGTGTGATCAGCGCTTCTCCACTTGCAATGGGGCTTCTTACAGAGAGTGGTCCTCCAGAGTGGCACCCAGCTTCACCTGAACTCAAGGTTTGCTTGTTATGATTCTATGATCTTTTCCTTTTATTTAGTATTTCTTCATAGTTTTTTGGTTTATTTTATTATTAGCGGGAGAAAATTGTTTTGTTAGTCAGTATTGAACTATGAAGTGAGCAGAAACAAGTGTTAATTATTTTTGGGCAGCCAATTGCTTTGCAAAGATTGAAAGAGAGATCCATCTTATAGTAGAGAAGTGGTTATTCTGATATGAGTCACTTCTAGCAAAGTATGTTAAAAAGCATTCTAACCCAAAATGACTATACCTACGAAAAGAATACGGGCAAGCAGAATATTTTTTGTAGGATCTGGATCAGGCACATCGGTTCTCTGATGGAAAAAATTGGGGTGATGAGGTCTGAAAGGTCAATGATGGAGTTTGTGATAGGTCATGAGGTCAGAAAGTAGCTTACAGGGCATTGGTAGTTAGATTATTGGACCAACTGGTGGCACACCATATGAAAACCAAACATCTGTTCATCAATCTTTAATTTTTAAAATGGATCATTGTCTAAAATATGGCTTATTTCCCCGGGATTTGATGTCCACAAAGTCTTGCCAGATTGCCACAGTCAGTGTATTCTATACCATGTTTTTCTGAATTTCAGGAATAATGCTCTACCTATTCCTAACTCTTAGTTCACTTATAAATGGGACAAGTCGTATTTAAATCCAGATCTTGGTTTGACTCAGATGATTATATATCTACCTAATTAGTTCCCTGTGCTTTCTTCCTCAGGCTGCATGCCAAGCTGCTGCTGCTCATTGTAAAGACAAGGGAAAGAACATATCAAAGCTAGCTATGCAATATAGCTTGTCAAATCAGGACATTGCTTCCATACTGGTTGGCATGAATTCAGTTGCACAGGTTATGATTCGTAATTTGGCCTGAGTGCTTCATTTCCTCTCATACAGTTTATTTCAGTATTACATATTATCCATAGATATAGATTGTCTTTTGGGTATTAAAAATCTTAAAAACCTATAGGTTTCCAATAGTAAAAGAATCCTTTCTTTATGATTACCAGGAGTTGTCAATACCAGTTTAACAATATAGCTCCTCATGTAGGCTCCTGGTATATTCATGTAGTAAGATGTTAGCCATTTTTTAGCTGGTTGTGGATTTGTAGATACCGTCCTTGGTAACTACCTACAACAAATTATGCCACAACAGAAGATCCATTGATGTCTTAGATGTGAGAATTTGGATTGAGCCTCCTGTTGGCAACTGATAAATAAAATATATAGACAGTATATATATGTATGTATTTTTTATCCCGAGCATTAGAAAACACCTGGTATAAGTGAAACCACATCCTGTTAAATAAAAAATCATTTTAGGTGCTTAAAATTTCACTTTTATATTCCAAGTTATATTTATATAAAAGAATTTGTGCATGCCGTGGCTTCTGTAGTGTAGAGCATGGTCAGGGGAAGATCATGCTAAATTATACAAAGCACAGAGAGTACAACTAATTAAAAGATATCAATTTTTTTCTTTTCTTTTACTGATTAGTGATACCATGTCATTCATCTACATATTTCTTAATGTGTTATGACATTCAAGCATTTGATAATCAGGTTGAGCAAAATGTGGCTGCTGCTATAGAACTCATGACGACCGGAAAGGATGAGAAAACTCTGTCAGAGATTGAAGACATTTTGAAACCTGTGAAGAATCAAACATGGCCTAGTGGTATCCAGTAATATCGAAGTTGTCATTAGCTTGTCTTTCACAATAATCTCTTTTCATGACCGACTTCCCCATTTGTATTCATCTGTTCCATACTGCTATTTGTATTTTTCTGGATCTATATCTATATTTATACAAGAGCAGGGACTATTTGATATCATATAGAAGTGTGTATTGTTATTGTTGAATTTGTTGACATAATGTTAATTAGACTGGCATCTCTGGATTCCTTCAAAGAGTGCATACTAAATATGAAGAAAGTAAAACCAGTTTCTATCATTTTGAAGAAATATGTTTTTGATACAAATCCCGTGTTGTTGCTGTGATGTATATGTAAACGCAAAAGTTATTGAAGTTTTGTGCGAATACTCTAGTTAAATTGCCTTATTAAGTGCCATAAACATAAGATCAGCAACACAAACATAACTTGAACTGATGCAAACAAAGAGGCAGTTAGGGGAGAAATTTTGCCCAACCCACAAAAAATTATGTGTTTTTTCACAAGGTATACAAAAGAGTCCAAGAGTGGGACCAAGTAGAAAGGTAATATAGCATAATGCAACTACAAATAAAACTTGTCACTAAGCCATTGTCTAGTCTTGGCTAAGATGATTGTGACACTTTTGGGGATGGAGAGAAGAAAACCGCAGGAAAACAGCTCCATTCTCAAGCTCACGAGTGTCTCGCTTAAAGGGAGACCCACGTATCTATTTTAATGAAAGAAAATATTACAAAACAATCACAATTCATTATTACTTCTTGGTATAGATCTGTACATATGCGGCAAACAAAGTCAAAATTACACTGTTTTGGAGGTGAACAAGGTGGGATATTAACAACGATTATGGGATGGCCAGGATTTGCAATTCTATCAACTGCAATTTATCTTCATGATCGACAATACTTCTCTACCTGGCGATCTGCTGCAAAGGCGGCCAAGCAATTTCATTATCATCCGTGTAGCCATTAATCAGGAAATCTGCACAATTTTTCCAGCACCCATAGTTATATGGGTTCCGGAACTGCCCATCTGGACCACGAAGATACCCATAACGTACAGCATTTGCTAATTCATTTGTGGTGATATTCTGAGCAATCTGCACCCAAAACATAAAAACTCTGTCGGGGATATAAAATAAAAGTGAAATTGAAACAACTGCATAATCACAATCTCACATAAATATATGGTGTATAATTTTCACCGACTTTACCCATTATGCTTTATCTTTCTAAGAGAAAAGGACAACTTCAATGTAATGCAAGAAAATGAAGAATATGAGTTTTTAATTCAAGGGGAAAAGGTTAAGTCTAAGTGCATATGGCACTAAAAGGAAATCTGATTTTTGGTAAGGCTTGATTTGAAAGCTGAAACTCCTGTGTATATTCAGGAAAAGGTTATCAATAATATATATATAGAGAGAGAGAAACACACACAAGTTAAGCATATTAGTGGCCTTTCGTGACTCCAAGATAAATTATAGTGGCACAAGGACTGACCTATCTAAATTTTCGACAGAGTTTCAAAATTCTTACGACAAGATAATTACGGACCAATTTTGTTAATTCACATGCAGGGGCAAAAGCCAAAGACCACAACAGTGTCTGTCATAAAACAATATACTGGTTTCATTTTGGTAATTAAGAATAAATGCTTATTTCTTTGTTAAGTAATTGAGTAATACATATTCGTTGCCAAGCAAAAATAAGCAAGCATGCCCAGTGCATTGCCCAGATAGAATCAGACACATTGGTGTTGTGTACTCACATCAACTAAATTTAAAAAAAAAAAAAAAAAAAAAAAAAAATTTGAAATAAAAATCACAAAAACCAGAACTTTTATTTTCTTGCAATTAATACCTTTTGTTTTCCATTAACAATTACAGCATAAGCTATCTGTCATCATCAGCCACCGCAAGTTTAAAGTAGTAATAACCATGAGACGAAACATTGAATATACCTAATAGCTACCATACTCCCCCAAAGGTTACTTAATAAGACAACTAATAGAATAGTGTAGGAGTAAACAAAACGATCTACACATGGTTTTCATTGACTAGAGACGGCATTTATACCAAGGGATATAATTTGGTGGGCTCTACAAAGAAAACAAGTCCCTAGGAAGCTTATAAATTTATTCAGGATATGCAAAGCAAGACGTGACTAGAGTTCGTACATGTGGAGAAACTGGGAATTTCTCCATAGAAGTTGGACTATGTCAAGGATCCGTGTTAAGTCCATACTTATTTACGATAGTGCTGGATGAAATAACGAAAGATATCCACGAAGTCATTCCATGGAGTTTACTGTTTGCAGATGACATAGTTTTAATAGATACGTCGAAAGAATCTTTAGCAACAAAGCTAGAAACATGGAGAAAAGCTTTAGAAGCAAAAGGTCTATGAATTAGTAAAACTAAAACAGAGTATACGAGATATAATTTTGATAAAGCAACAAAAGAAGATAGTATACATATTAAAATTCAAGACCAAATAGTTACTCAAAATAAATATTTTCACTATTTAGGTTCAATATTACAACAAGATGGGGAGATAGATGGTGATGTAGTAAGTAGGATTGGAGCAGGTGGAGGCAAGCTAGTTGCATCCTATGTGACAAACGAATCACAAATAATTACAAGGAAAATTCTACAGTAGGGTTATCAGGCCAACTTGTATGGAGCACAGTGTCAGAAGTTGAAAAAGAAACAAGAACAATGCATTCATGTAGTGGAAATGAGAATGCGACGATGGATGACATGAGTAACTAGAAGAGATAGGATTAGTAATGAACGAGTAAGGGGTAAGTTGGAAGTAGCTCCCATTAGTGATAAAATTAGAGAAAGTGGGCCTAGGTGGTATGGTTATATACAACTTAGAGCGGAAGATACACCAGGTAGGAGAGGAAGAAGGTGCAACAGAGAGGGCAGCTAAAACTTACATGGGATGAAGTAATTAAAAACAATTTTACAAAATTAAATATTGTAAGAGACGTGGTTTATAATAGGAAAGAATGGAAAATTAGAATTCATGTGGCTGACCCTACTCCTATGGGACAAAGGCAAAGATTATGATAATGAAGAATCCAACTTGGTTGCTTGGTACGTTTTAAGCAATAAAAACTGAGGTTGAATAAACAACTAAAAAGAAGGGTTCAAATATAATCATTTACCTGGGAGGCTTGTGCTATCATCAAAACTGCAGCAGCAATAAACATAATAGTGTCCATCACTAGAAAAGCAACGATACCAGGATATTGAAATACCACAAAAAGCATCCATGTTTCTTCAGATGGCACTGCTGGTGCTACTGTCCAAATTCCTGTCAAAATAAATACGGTTGCTATCTAGTCTATGATAGTGTGGGTATAATCCCGCAAAAATATATGATAATTAAAAGGTTATTCATCCTACATACTTTGAACAGCAACAACAAAAGCAAGGAAGGTTGTCAAATTTCCCATGCAGAGAAAAACAAAGAAGTCCCATTTATTCCTCTGCAAAAATCACAATGAAGACAAAAATGAAGCTCATCATGATAAAAGTGGAAGAGGAAAAGAACCAAATACAATTCCATACCAAAGTCCAACATGAAATCCAATTAGTTATTCAATATAAATATTGCAAAAAGTCCATCAACAGGGCAAAGTACTGAAAATAAATTCTCTCAATTTGGAAACTGTAAACTAACAGTAGCACTGAAGCTTAGCCCCCCAAGTTAGCATAACATGAAGCAAGACTGGCAAGTCCAGAATTCTTTCAGAGTGGGAGCACCTCCTCCCTCCATCCATCAACTGTTAGTGTTGGTGGGGCTCTTTGTATGTCTTGTCCGGTAAGCAAACTCAATGACTGTTTGTTTGTCGCAAGACCTAGCAGTAAAAATTTCGGTAGACAAGGATCACATAAAAACTTCAGTTAAGAAGTGGGAAAGACTGGGTGTCATTTCTCAAGAATTATAACTAAAGGCCCCGAAAAAATCACTTGGATCAGGAATCTACACATTGATGTTCATGATTTTGGTATCCATACCAACGATTTGTAGGAGACACCTCAAAAAGTATTTACTGCATATATCAATCAATTCTCTATCATTCTTCTTCAACTGACTGGCTTGTTCTTCCCAGGTTCTTGTTTTTCCAATTCTGAAGCATGGCAAGCGTCCTATTCACGTATAGGGTGGTTTGGCCAAGAAATATTAACTGATAAGCCAAAATCAGTGCGTTGTTCATTGTAGTTAAATATTTTTTACTGGTTCATTCCTTTATCATAAAGCTGCTCCAAGAAATTGCGTCGGTTTCAAGATGTGTAATATATGTTAAATCAACATCTAACAGAGCTTCTAGGACTCAAATCTTTTACAAGACATGACATAAGGTGTTTGCGTCTGCCAATTAATCAATTTCTAAATGTATTTATCAAAATATTAAGAATAAAGGTCCACCTACCACTAATTCTTCCTCCCTCTCTACCCCTCCACCAATATATATACATATATATATATATAATATATAATCATTGGTAATTTTTTTCATTGATATTTTTCTAATCACCTCCTTCAGGTCATAAAAAGAATAGTTTGAAGGATGAAGAGGACCTATAGAAAATTGGATTTACCCCCAAAATTTGAAGCTTTGATTTGGTGGAGAAATTTTGATGAACTAATCATACTAAGAAATCATATTTTAATGCTCCGATAATAGGGTTTCTCAGACCTGCTAAAGTAGGAGGAAAGTGAGGCAATTTGATATGGAATGCATACTAAGGGAACAAAGAGAGGCAAATCTAAATGCATGAACTCCCACATATCTACATTTGCTCGTGCTGTGTACGCTGGGGTACCCCCACTCGGACAGAATGTAGTACCAAGCACCAAGTGTAGACAAGAACTAACAGCAGTTAGGTATAGGAGTGGCATCAACTCCAAATAGCTGCGGGATTGATGACTAAATGATGAAATGATAACGAGTTCCATTTTCTTTTTTGCCACATTTAAGAACTGTGGCACAGTAGTCTAAAACAAGATTGAAATACTCTTTAAGCAAAGAGACCAAAAATAATGATATAATCATCATATAAATGCAAATGACTTTATCCAGGTTAGACTAGAACAAAGCAAAAATGAGCTTTTAAAGTTATACCAGCATCCATAACATGTCCTCCCACACATATTTCATATGCATGCAACATAAAAATATATTTATATCTATAACTAGTAATTAACAATGCATAAATAATACATACTACAAATAGACTGATTCTTACCTTCCCCACACAATTAGAGATCCAGGGGCAGTGATGATCAAACTGTTCCACACAGCGCTTGCACGAAGAGCAGTGCTTAGAGCGAACAGGTCTAATTATCTGGAGAGGAAAGAAATAATAATAAAAATAGAGGTAACATCTAAGCACTAAATGACAAGCTAGAAGACATTCTAATATTTTTGATCTGCTATAATTGGAGGATAAGAAGGTCATTGAGAAAACCTTGCAGGTAGGGCAAAGTTGAGACCAATTTCCAGTCCATATGGAGGAACTGTTCAGATCAATATTCAACAAAGGATCCTGCAAAGTGTCAAAATGTATCACCAACTTGATAGAAAGCAATAAAAAAAATTACCAAGTAAAACTCCCACCAAAAGCAGATTTTTTTCAAAAGACAAATGGTGAACTAAAACTCACTGGTCACTACTCAAGCGCACGCGCGCGTGCACACACAAAAATGATTGGAGTGTCTGCCTGTAATGTGGAGCGTAGAACTTTCTACAATATATTAATAAGAATAAACCCACTTCACCATTTGAAATTGCGCTCTTCCATTTTCTTTTTCTTTTTTTCTATGCATTTTTCCTTTTTTCATTTTTGTTGTTGGTCGAGTGACATGCTTTTTCTTGTTTGTTTTTAAGGATATGTAGAGTTAAACATACATAGATTGAAAAAATAATGTTTAAGGTAACTGATCTTATTTTGCTCCCCAAAAGAAAATTTATAAAATTACCACTGTCCCACGCACACAGTGACAGAAGGTGTAACTTAAAAAAGGCTAAACTATATGATGTAGTACAAGCACAGTGAGGAACATTCTTACAAGATCAAATACCAAATTAATTTCAGAACAATACAAGAAAATTAAGAATAGGTGCACCTTAAATTTGGTATTGTAGCAGGCAAAGGTTTTTGGAAGTGGCAAAGATTTTAGAAAGTTTCCACCTTCCAACCCTAAAGGTACAAGCTTTTAATAACCTTATCCTACCATAATTCTAATGGTATTGCTTAACAAAAAGTTAAAATAAAACCAATTGTAGGCTGTATTGGCGCTTTACATCACTACTAAACTTCCAAGAAGAACCACATGTGATGCACATGACACACACAGACACGTACAAGGGCATATCAAAACCATACAGATTTCTATGCTTCCTCATGCATCTTGACCACAACAAATTTTAACACATTCCTTTGTCGTTCATGATGATGAATGGGGATAAGATCACCTCTAGCAGGGCTCATCAGCAATTCCTAGCGCTTGGATCTTTCAGTGAAAAAATCATATTGTTTTGATGGATGGTCTCTAAAACACTTGGGTCAAGATTCAGGGGGGGAAAAAAAAAAAACAGGTCAAGCTGGCATATGAGGACTTTTTTAGATATCGTGAAGGTAATACAACTGTGGGTTTTACAGAAGCAGTTGACCCATGTTAAGACAACTAATAAGAAGGCTGAAGCTCAACTTGGATCCAGAAAAAAGGAGTCTATTAAAAACCAAATATACTCTTAATATCAACTTGGAGCGAGAAAGTGGGGATGTTACCTTTTCTTCTTCGCTTCTCTCAGCTCAACATCAAGTCCCAAGAAAGTTCTCATCCATATAAACCAGAAAGGACAAGAACCAATGTCTACCTCCTTAAATCATTGAATGACTAAATCGACCCCTTGCTCTACTATTTTGGCTTTTTTACGATCTTGGTGTCTACTTTAGCTTATCAGATGCCATAACTTAATTTCTTTTATGAACTTGCACCCTAAGTTCCTCGGAGAAAAAAATGCCTCTTTTTCAGTACGCTGCTCCGCTAGCGAAGAGTGCCACACTCGAGCAAAGTTCTCACTAACCAGGCTGATTTTCTCAGGTGAAAAACTCAGTGCTTTGGAAAATTCTCATATTGTTTTCGTTTCACAAACACCAGAAATAGACAAAGCAAACCCCTCTCCAAATTAAGATTCTATTCCTAGATTGCTTCATCTCACATTTGATACCCAACCTCATAGAAATCCCCAAATGCCTGAAACTGAAGTGAATAATGACTAAATCAGGGAGGAAAAAAAAAAGGGTGTGAATAATGACTACCAGATTCAAAAAAGAATTAACAGATTACCACAAAGGTGTCCAAAAAACCTTTGCTGAGTTTGGTGTGCAGGAATGGAATGCCCATTCCAACCATTCCTTTGTTTGGTAGGCAATTTAACAAACGTATCAGCTATCAGTAAAACATCCAGTCATCATTCACCATTCATCAGTACATTAAAGACTGCAACGCACAATGCATTTCCACAACCCAGCTTATTAAGATTCCAACACACTGGCTCCTATCATAGGAGTCTACTCTCCTACCATACCTATGCTAGGATAAGAGGAAGATAAACAAGGGACATGGATCATACAAGTCCAATCAAAATGAGGATAACAGACTTAGTAGGAAGGGGAGATGTGTGTGTGTGTTTGAGGGGTGCGGTTTATATTAAGGTAAAGGGGTTAATTTTGATACCATAATAGCATGTGCAGCTTGCAGATCCATAAATAACACGAGAAGATAAGTCAAAAAGTGTCTCCAAAGTTTCGTTAAATGGTAAAATATTTATCTGAGTAAAACAAAAAAAAAAACAACATATTAGCAATTAAGATATAACATGTCCTTTGAATCAAGTCACTTATTTGTATTAGTTGTTATTTTATTGTACACCAAGAAATTATTCTCAACTGACTTCCCTTTATCCTGACTTCAACAGTCAAGAATCAGACAAAAAGAACAGAGGTCAAGGGAGTGAGAAAAGGCAAGATTGCCAATGATTTGATAGAGCAAAAAAATTTCATCTATTCGTGCATAGGCAGTTTAAATTAGGTTTTATCAAGCTGACAAGAGTTCAGATAAATTGATATTAATTGGTGATTGCACTAACTCAGCAATGCCAGAAAGCTAAAAACTTACAGGTTGCAAACACGATACTACCATACACTATAGAATACATGCAACAAATACAATGACATATTGAAAAAAAAAAAAAAAAAGGACTGTAATAGTTGTCAAACCAACAAATACAGAAGATATTAAATACCTCTACATCCGGATGGTCCCGCAACTCTCCTGATGTGTTTATGTAACCTGGATCTTTACTGGATCAAATTTGATATCATCATCAGTAAGCCAATGGAAGCCAAAGCAAAATCATACTCCCAAATATATGAGAACAGATACAATTACCCAACTCAAGCTTACAACAAGCAAATGTTGTTATTGACAGTAGGAAATGAAAATTTTCGCCTTGCAAACTTAAACTTCAAGCAACAAAATGGGATTCACAAACATATTAAATCAACAGAGATTCAACTTGAGACAAGCCACTTCATGTAATTCAGTTGTAAGCATTCTTCTTGAATAACCCCGTATGTCTGATTAATGAGGTGAAGCTAAGGAAAACTTTCACAGGTTGGTAAACTATAGCATGTGTTACACAAAACATAAAACAAGTACAGAAGTATATTGATAAATTTTGAGAGGCAGCACTATCAAACATTTAGAGTGCATAACCAGAAACCAATGAAGATGAGTGCTAACTTGACGAAGAGCTCTAATGGTGGTAGTACCACAAGCTTGATACCGAGTCTCCTTGGGGAGCTTCAAGCACCATCTTCACCAATAACTTACTGAATAAATCAACTAATCACTAGTTGCTTTTGCATGAACATGCACTTAACCCTAAAATGACACGACTAATAGTGTGAAAACATCGCATGTTATAAATCAAGCGGTCAAGATACAGTATACTCACTACATAATATTTCTGTGATTAATGTTTGAATAACAAGTTACATTTATGTACCGCCAGCACCAACATTGGCATTTTTGAGGCAATGAAAGAAATAACAGATTATTATGGTGTAAGTGAAGGATGTCATGTCATAATCACACCTGAAACAGTTAGGATTTCATTACTTGGTGGCTTAAGCCATGGGCTAGGCAAGGTGTGATCACAAGCCATTCACATTATGAGATACACCTGATAAGTGTCAAAGGGATGCATCTTAACGAGATTACCAAGATGGACACATGACGCTTCTAGTGCATTTGATGAGCGAAGCTAACTAGCTGTCATGTAAAGGTATACCCAAAACGATGGTTTTTTTTTTTTTTTTCTCCCAAATACATTTCATAACATAATTTGGAATGAATAGAGCACAATTCAAAAAGGAAAATAAGACATTTCAGATAATAAAGAAGACAGAATGAGGAGAAGACAATCATGGCAAGCACTACGCCTAAGTCCTAACAAACACTTTTTATCCATGATTCTAATAGAGTACCTCATCCCTGTCCCTCCCCTGAGCAATCTGCCTTAACTCTCCCCTAACCACAGCCTCCCAAGGGACTGGTTCACTAGATTATGAGAGCTATCTATTTTCCTATATCTTGAGAATCCATGCACATAAGGGCGACTCTACAGGGAAAGTAATAGGGAAGTAATACCATGATCTGGTGAACACTCAAAGAAATTAATGTATAGGGAAGCTGAATCTGGAAACCTTTCTCAATAATACAGCTCAGAAAACCCTGTCAGACCAATAAAGCAATTATTTGTCCAAACATTGCAGCCAACATGCCTACAGCACCATTTCATCATGTTAAAAACCTCCGTCAGGGAATAGTTGCTATCTTTCACATGGCTTCAAAGACGCACTAATATAAGCAGTTTCACAGCTAAGGGCTTATGCTTGCATGATGGCAACTGAAATTACGCACATTTATTTACACCGACCATAGTTTATAATGCAATGGATTATGACTTAATTGGAGCTATATTTTCAGATATGCACAATAGGTTAACAACAATGAAGTCATCGTGTATATCACTGATTTTGATACATTATATGGAGACCGAGCATATTGTTGCCAATCTCTTGAAGCAATGCACCATCTTTGTTCAACAATGTTACCTGATATTCTCCATTCATATTTCCTGAAGACGTCTCCATCTTCTTTTCAATTTCGGACATCACTCAATATGCCATGCTCATGTGGTAAAAGCATCCCCAAACTGGCCTCGTTGTTGGGATCCCTTCTTTGCTAAGAAAATAGCCTGCTCATTGACAGATCTAGAACTCCATTTAACCTATGCTTCTAAAGCAAAAAATATCCAAAATCTCACTCATAGAGTGATTACATTGCCAAGAGCCTGTGGACCAAGATCTCACCCAACCGACAACCACCTTAGCATTGATCTCCAAGCAGTTTAACAAATCCTCCGGTACAAAACCGGCCCCAGTTACCAAGGGAACAACCATCAAAGTTAGATTTGATTTTCCAACAGAAGCAATACTAACAATGGTTGTGAGAAGATGTCACGCCTCACAGCCCCCCCAATCACTCTTGATAATAAGTAAGAGTGAATTACACAATGTTATCAATTCTGCCTCACCCAACCGACAACCACCTTAGCATTGATCTCCAAACAGTTTAACAAATCCTCCTGTAGAACTCCGGCCCTAGTTCCCAAGGGAACAACTCAAAGTTACATTTGATTTTCCAACAGAAGCAATACTAACAATGGAAGTGAGAAGATGTCAAGCCTCACGGCCCTCCAATCACTCTTGATAATAATTAAGAGTAAATTACACAATGTTATCAATTTTCTATTCTACTTTTTTCCATTTCTCCTCGGATAATCAAGTCATAACAACCTGCTCCCAAAATACCAATCCGTCCTAAACCCTTTGTCAAAACGTAAGTCTGTTCATACCATGAATCACAAAAACTTCCAGATGCACATTTTAATTTAATGGAAGGAGACCAGGAGAAGACAACAAATACATGTCAATAAGCATTTATTCATGTCATATATCTTATTAACATTACTATAAAAAATTGACAGCAAAAACTTACCTGCTGCAACGATAGAACATCATCATTGAACCAAGTGCTAAAGAAACAGTAATCCATCCCCAAAGTCCAACAGCAGCAGTAATCTTTCTGAGATTGGGAGCTACCACGAGCAGAAAGGAATTGGTCATGATTAGCATTGGAAACATACCTCCATCTACTAATGGAATAAAATCGTGTACTGTAGCTTTACGCACCAAAAAGAATGGAGTTGATGAAGAGGACTAGGTTACATAAAAATATACAGAACAAAAGAGGGGCAAAACCTATATCCCCTACTTTCCCAATGAAAACGCCTTCCCAACGCTTGCTGCGACTGTGAGCACGCCATGCATTAGACTGAATGAAATCAAAGTATACAATGTTATGTTTGCAAAGAATCAAATGATGATAAAGATGCAGATTACGTTTTCAGAAACTCGTGTAGATTAAGTTCTCAAAAATTAAACCAATGATTCAAGTAAGCAGGGAACGGATCTTTATTTCAACATCAAGTTATTAGGTGGTAAGAGATAACTAATATTAGTTGCCTCTGATATGCATGTATTAACAATTCAATTACCGAAAATAACAACTGGAACCCAGATTAGTGAACTCTTTTTAACTTTACTGTTGGTCTTTCACTTCACCAATCCAAACATGCATGTTTGTTTGTGTACATGAGCATGCCACTGCTAGACGCTCAAAACTTCAAACTTCCAAGTTCTAGCACGCCTGCCTGCTCACACCTCTGCTTATAGTCCTGCTCTCCCGTCAAGTATTAAAGCTGCCATGGCCTTAATCATATAAACAAAATTCTACAACTTTTCCAAAATTTCCCATAGTTTATCCCAGTATTATTGTCAAACGAACGAATACCAAACCTATACCGGCTGTTAAAAAATTCTAAATTATTTACAAAATACTCATACTACAGATAATTCTGATATTTCCCCAACACCACCCCATCCCCCCCCAAATTCTCAAGAGATTCAAATTACTAAAGAAAGAAACTATTTTTTAGTAATTTCAATTTATGTTGGGTTTCCTAAAAAATCTAACTAATTTTTTTCCCCCCAAAACTATTAGCAATGTCTTTCCATATAGGTCATGAAACACGAATTAGATACCAAGTAATTCCAAAACCCCAAATTGTCACTGTGTTTGACGTCACCAACTTATAAACTTTTATAGCAGTAAAAACAATCATTGTTACAAATACTACATTGCTATTCGCCACAACAACACATCCCTTAAAAAAATTAAATTCAAAATTTACACCATGTAACGCAAGTTGTTTTCCGTGTAACATTTTTTTTTGTGGAGTGTTGTGTGTGTGTGTGTTGGGGGGGGGGGGGGGGGGGGGGGGGGGTGTCATAAAAAATATTTAAAAAAAGGAAAACATACAACATTAAAAAACACAGAGCGATCTCCAAATCTGCTTGATAGTATAAATTTATTAATACTTCCCTCTAGAATGGTGAAAACATGGAACAAAGGTTTTATAGAGGCACGTTTAGTATTTGAGTGAAAAAGTTGGCATGTGCAAATGACTAGCAACAGATTCTATGAGAATCCCTGCACAACATATCATGCAAACCTGATTTTAAGATGATATCTTGCGTCAACATTTTCTGGACAATTTTAGTAACAGAACTCAGAATGCCAAATTCCAGATGTCATGGTTTAAGTCGCTAATTGTACAAATATATACTGCCAAAGGTGACATCAATACAAAGTTACGTACAAGGAAATAAGCAACATGCCGATGACCTTTATCAGACGCAATCTGTATTGGAGTAAATCCAGCATTATCTTTCACCACTAATTCCTGCTTTGTGCCTGCGTGTACAAGTACAGTGCATGCCTCCACATTTCCTCTTAAAGCAGCCCAGTGCAGAGGGGTACAACCTGCAAATAGAATATTCACATTATTGCAATTAATACCAAATTGATTAGGTCCTTAACAGAAAACCACCAATTTTGGTTAACAAAAAATCACGGCCATTGGCCTACACAATAAGCATAATGTATTAGAAACTAATGAGATAACTCAAGAACTATTTTCCACAGTGCAATTATTTAATTTTTATAGTCCGGAGCCAATACCCAGTTGCTTGAAGTGCTCTTAGGAAATCCCATGGTACACAGGTCAGGAACATGTGATACATGAAGTCTATGAAAAAAATGTCATTCAAATAAAATTTTCAAGTTGAATTCATTTTTTATTTTGTAGGTGATTTTCAGATCTGACCAAAAGGGTAGTGCTAAAGGGCTTTTCTTTTTCTCAAAATTTGAAATAGTACTACAGAAATGCATAACAGTGTGGTGTGGGCATGCAACATATATGAAACAAAAAAAAAAGTTCATGCAGGCATCCTTCACTATTCCGAGACCAGCACAAAACAAAATCTCCAACATACTAAAGTTACCCTGATTACAGTTGACACATCTTCACCGTCTAGAGTAACAATGATTCGAAGAACACCATGCATTGATGAGTTAGATACACGTATCTATTAAATGAAAGCTAAAGTGAGCAGCACCTCAATGCCTATATGAGCTATTTCTTTGAATGTTATTTCCACCTGGTGCAATCTCTAAACAATATATATATATATATATGCACATACATATAATTATATCCACATAAATAAGGCTAAAGAACATTTTTCTCATTTCTGATCTATCATCCAATAAACAATACATATGTATATGTATATGTGTATATTTTTGGCACTCTCTCTTTCTCTATCTCTCATCCTGTATCAAAGCATACTTCCATACTTTTTACTTTTTCCACTTAATTAATTAATGACAGTACAGAACTATTTTTTTAAAGATGGATATATGAATACAAATATATATCCTATTATCTAATTAATTGAAAATTGGCTATTAATATAAGATAGTATTATAAAATCAACAATTTTCAAAGAATAAATATATAATATAAAGTTCCTTTGGTAATAATGAAATGAAAATCATTAATATTGTTCCAAAATAATATTTAGAATGTAATTGAAGTGAGTACTGGTTATAAGGTAACCAAGCTAACCTGAAAATTAATACTAGACTTCTGACATACTTGGTCTTATGATGCAACCATAAGATGAGACTGATTAACATTTTCATAAGCAGGCTTAAGGCTTTCGCTAAACCTACAAAGCTTGATCAGATTACTTCTCATACTTTTCTCATTATTTGGTATGAAAAAAGGTTTAAATATTTTTATACACAAATGCATTCATAATAAATAAATAGTATATTTAAATTTAAATTGCCTTTAGAAGATTGGACTCATAATTTACTCATAATTTGCATCACTTGGAATCATGTTAGACCGGCCATTATGGAGACTTGAGTTAAGCCATGCTTGAACAAGCACACCAATAATAAATTGTAAAAAGCAAGAGTTCAGAAATTTGCTATGAGTCATATTTTTTCTTCATTCCCTGCTTTAAATTCTCTGTCTCATTTTTTCCAGAATAGTAATTATTCAGACCAGAAATGTTTCCCTCATATAATGACAAAAGCTTTTTATTATTATTATTTTAATTGTTATAAAAATTAATTATTTTGATCTAAGTTAATAAAAATAATTGTTTGAAGACATATAAAAAACTACAGTATTTCATATAAGAAAACCTTCTTCGGCCATGTAACTTTATCCCGTGGATCATGTGAGTACACTGCTAGTTACACTTGACCATTAAATATTACATTATTTGGAAGCTGAAAAAGGTAAAAGAAAATAACAACTCCTATCAACTGAGTCCAACACAATTGTCTGGCTTAGTTGAGTGATTTTTTCTTTTCATATTTTCCTTTTTCCTATTTGAAACCAAAGCAATGGAAGAACAATTTCAAATTTCCTCCAATTTGTCAAAATCAGGAAGCACTCACATTATTCTTCGCATGTAGATAACTATAGTCAAAAGGAAATTGGAAATTTAAAATCAATATTTAGGAGGACAACAGAACACTTAGAAAAATGCAAATCCCTCAATAAGATACCTTCTTTATCTTGTCTCCCTTGATGTGCATCTCTAAATAGAAGTAATCTAATTGTATCTGCAAATCCCTTGTATGCAGCCCTGGTTCAAAGTATGAGGAAATAAAATAAGAATCAAATGTTTCCAAAAGAAATAATACTAACACATTCTCATCATTTAAGTATTATAATCAATAGTAGATATTTTGCACCAGTAAGCAATACCAAATTAAATGATAAAATATATATATATATACAAACAAAAATTTCTATTTAAGTACCATCAATAAATCAATGCACAATAAAATTGAACTAACTAAATAACTAGAACCAGCCTAAAATGAACTCTCCCATGCTCCCACAACAAAGTTAAAAAAAAAAAAAACTGATTTTGGAAAGCATGTCTGATTCCAAGTCAATATTCTGACTAAACAAATATATTTTAAATGTCTAAAATTCTGGAACAATTTTGCAATACAAGAAACTATATTTCCCGCGGGGGGGGGGCGGGGCGCGCGGGTTTGGAAAAAACTATAGAGTATAACCCCAGCTAATTTTTAAAAGATAACTTTTAGTGTCAAGTTTTTCCCCCATTCAATTTGAAGGGAAAGGAAATGAAGAAGAGAAATGAAATAAGTGATAGAAATTTCATATTGTTATAATTTTTTCCAGATTAGTAAATCTTGTGGTGAAATAAAGTTATAATAGCCAGAAATTTCTAGACATATTATATCCCTAGTTTGAATAATATGATGGACAAGAAGTGTTCGCTTCGAAAATCTGATAGAAGAAAGGAAAATAGTTTCTATCAATACTTAACTCTCATTTAATGATTATCCTTTCCAGTTCCCAATTTTAAAAGGAATGTCAAACATAGTGCATGTCAGATAGGATGTTGAGACTCCTGTAATTAATGAATATAATACTACAATCTATGACAAATACTAGTACCAGTATTTCAAGTTCTAAAATCAGAGGAACATTCACACCTGAAACAAGTTAGAACTAAAATGTATACCCAAAACAGAAGTCGTAGATTCTCACAGAAGTCAAATAACAGAGATGCTGTGGAAGAAACTGGTTCAGGGGAATTATGGGGTAGGAAGGGGGAATGGACTTCTCTATAGAGCTATGTTACCTGGACTCAAGTATGTTTGTTGGGTATGGGTATGTATCCGTGCGTTGGATGTGTCAAAATCCTACATAGAAGGACATATGGACAATGCTAAATATTCATATCATTTATTTTTTTAGTGTAAAATAATGTTTCTATATAACATAGTGTCTAAATAAGCAATTCATCTACTTTGAAGCAATAATATAATAAAATTGAATTATTGGATGTGTTTTTTAGGTGCATGTCCAACTAAAAGTATCAGACACATATCCCATACTTATATTCACACAAGTACTTCACCTACTTCTGAAGAGTCCATGTAACATAGCTAGAGAACATATGATGTGGGGTGGGCTTTTCAAAAATACATGAAGAAATGGTGGAATGAATTTCCAAGCACATTAGCTTAAAAAAAGTGAGCTTCTTGAACAATTTGGTGTGGGAAGTCTTCTTTGGAAGAGGTGTTCCCAGGATGTACGTACTGCAGCAAATAAAGAGGTCTCGTTGGGACAATGCTGGTATTTCAGAAAGTAGCGTGTTCTGGGATATTTAGTTTACCAGGCAAATCAGACTTGAAGCGAGAAGCTGCAGATGCTTCCATTGACCTCCAGTATGGCTTTACCATATCAGAAGTAATAGTCATAAAATGTTGTTGATGAAGGCTTGAGGAGCAGTACATCTGACATAAGTTCCTTATTAATGGGGGAAATTGTGTGGGAGGTGGTGCTAGATTCTCTTGGAAAGCATATGTTTTATCATGGTTATCAAAATTCCAATACTACCTTATGGTCAAGCGATCCAAAATTGTCTTCTGGGTCAAGGACAAATCTAGCAAGGGGCCTAAGGGCTTAGTGGGAGCAGATGCTCCCACCCAATTTTCTTTTCATTTTACAAGTATACACACACACACACACAGAGATAAGGATAAAGTTGTCCCCTCCCCCTCAAAGTTTCCGAAAGCTCTCATAGTATTTGAAAATTTATAATTTATTTATGGGACATGATATTCTCATTTCTCACTTCATCTTCTCTCATAAGTTGGTGAGGTAGAAAGGACGTTTAGTGACTGCAGATCTCCCAAATCAAATGTGCCTAATCAATTATATTGTTTAGGCATCCAGTACAAAATTTAACAAAAACCCCAAAGTCCATCATCCATCAATGCTTGACATATAACGCTCCAGTTCGAAATCTAACAAAAAAACCTTTATCCATAAGCCCGTAAGCCAACATATGAACCAAAAATACTAAAATAGGGCTCATTCAATAGATAACACGAAAGCACGACAACTCTCAACAAGCAACAGGAAATTACTTTCAGGCAGCAGAAACGGTGCAATTGGCAAGTGATTCAAGTCTTCAAATGGTTCAAAAGATTATACACTACTATTTTGCAGGGTATGGCTTCGATAAATTTTCTGTGTTCAGATTGTTCATTGCGACAAACAGTTGCCAACAAACAAATTTAAATTTTCGAATTATATATATATAGAGAGAGATAAATTGCCATACCAATGAAGAGGGCTCCTTCCATCATTATCTGGTGCATCAAAATCAGCATGATACTTAGCAACAATGTGATATAAAAATGCTGTTTGTCCATATTGAGCTGCAACATGAACTGCCTGCAGTAAAATTACTGGAATTCAAAGAATGCACGATTGAAAATTTAACTGCCATTAAGTCTATGGAAACAAAAAAGTGGTTGACAATCCATAAAAAAGATACAACTTCGAGACAAAAATTGAAGTTAATAAATAGAAAATAGAGCTTATGGGGATTGAATCCTGCTAACAATAGAGCTATATATGTGGAAAGGGTGTACTGCAGTCAGTAAGCTGTATGCTTGGTCTACAGGTCTGGGTTATTCCTGTCAGTACCAAAGCCCTCGGTCTGTTGTGGTTAGGTAGGCAATTAGTTTGATTGATTAATGCGTCCCTCATTGGTCTTATGTGCAGCATGTCGTGGATGTTATATAATTAACATCAGTGATTCTTAGGTTGTAAATATTTAAGTAACTTGTGGACTATTATGTATTTATCGGCATGTATGCCGATTCAACTATGTTATTGCAACAAGCTAACCCTAACAATCTGTTATGCACATCACACATTTTGAAACAGGGGCACACTCCCATTGTAAAATATTAAAATTACCAATGTAAGACATTTTTTTTTCATTTCCTTTATATTTCCTGTTTCTGTGATAATATCACTAATAATGTAGATTCTGCATTTTAAATAATATGATATGTAATTTCAGGGCAAAAAGGGATAAAAAGACATAAGACTTTAAGAAATGAACACAAATATGGAATGAGTAAAAATTTATTCTTGCATGGTTAATTCATATACAACAAACTCTTGAAATTGAGGGGAAAAAATCCCTTCACTAAAAAATAAATAGTGTTCTGCTAATCCCACTATAATTTTTAGACTGACTGTTCCAACCCAAGTGAGCTTGATAGCCCATCCCCACTGCTTTACATCTCAGAGTATACGGTACGATCCATGACTCGAAATATTGCTACAGAAGAGACAACTAATGCTATTGTACTAATTAACCTCGGTGTTTTCGCCACTGCACCTTCCCTCACTTCTGCACCATACTCCAAGTACATGGTGTTTTCTATCAGTTGCCAATTGGGGTAGCCATCTAAGAAGCACGGACACGGATACGACACGACATGGACAAGGCAACACAGCAAATCCAAAAAAATTAGGACACGGACACGGTGGGGACATGGCGAATAGTGTATGTGTGTGTGTGTGATATAGTACTTTAAAAATTACTGAGTGTTACTATTTTTCATCAACCTCACAATGAAAAAAAAAACACAAATCATAACTCATAATTAATAAACTATAAAAGAACAATGTCGCATAGTTATAAAACCAAATAAAAAACAAGACTTTAGAATAATAACTAGTATCATTTAACTTATCAAAAAAAAAAAAAATAACTAGTATCATTTAATCATCATTGCAACTTTACTCCAAATACAAAAGTATAGATAGAAAGGACTATTAACATTCATGGCTGTTTAACATTCAGGGCTTTACCGTTAGCGCTTAACATTCACAAAAACTTAAAGGCTAGTCCTCAAAAAAGATACAAAAACAAGTCAGTGTACTATCATCTATTCCCATCCATTACTTTACTTAGGACTTTTACCATTTACAATACCAAAAGGATAGTACAAAACAAAAAACAGAACATATCAGCATTATAAATAAATAAATAAATAAAAAATTTACAGACACGTGTGTCCGCGGAGTGTCCAAGCCGTGTCCGAAAATTTAAAAAAATAAAAAAATTCCAGACACGTTTTTTGGTGTGTTTGACACATGTTGGGGCATATCCGATGCGTGTCTGTGTTCGACACAGATTCTTCGCCCATTTTGGTGTGTCCGTGCTTCCTAGGTAGCCATTAATAGCACTTTCCATTTTCTTCATCAACATATCACTTCTTAATTAATTAGCAAAAGATTTCCAAATTATGGAGATTAAACAACTTGTCTCAAAAACATGCTGTTTAATTAAAAGACCACTTCAAGTTTAAGTATTTTTTTTGTTAGACTATGGATTATCCCAATATCGATGTCAAAGGAATTATCCAGTACTGTTAGCTGTCATATTAAATGTAGAACAATAACATACAACATACAAATCCCCTCAAACAATACAGGCAATAAATGTGTCATATAATGTCAAGTGTCAACCCAAACTTGTTTTATCACTAATTAAAACTTGTCTACATACACATTTCACACACATAAAACATGGTCACATACACTTTTCACACACATAAAACATGGTCAGTCTAAAATTTTTCAAAAAGAAGACCAATTACCCGATAACCATTTACATCAGCTGCCTCAACACGAGCCCCACTCTGCAATAAAACATCTGCAGCTGCAATCGAACCCCGAACTCCTGCCCAGTGCAGTGCCGTCTGCTTCGCGTTGTCAGCGTCATTCACATCACCACCGTGCTTCAACAATAACAAATTCAAGAACACTCTGAGAATCCCAATATATCAATCAGTCAATCAATAATTCAGATAATTAGCTATACCTCAATAATATATTGCGCGATGGCAGCAAAATTGTTCAGACAAGCCCACTGAAGAGCGTAATAGCCGTTACCGTCCGCTTGAGAGAGAGAAACACCGTCTTCTTCGACGTATTTTCGCAATTTCTCGAAATCGCCGTAAGCAGAAGCGCCGAAAACATCGATTATGACCACTTCGTTAGGTCTTTGTCCCGAGTTCTTCTGATCATTCGAGTCCGATACGATTTCGATTTCTGATGAAGCCATTTCGCTACTCACTGTGATTCTTCTTTACTAAGAAGGGGAAATTAGGGTTTCAAGATTTGGGATTCTCAGTGATTTATAATTCTTGATAGGATTGGGATTCAGTTCAGGTTGTATGACGGTGTGAACTCGCGGCGTTGATCGCCCGGCACAGTAAAAGACTCCATTATATGACGTGCGCGCAAAGAAATATGTCTTATATAAAACATGAAGGAAAAAAAAAAAAAAAAAAAAGTTGATGTATCAGAGATTAGAACAAATATATATGATATAATAAAATGGATGTATAAATAAATTTAAAACAAATCTGATACCTCCCTATAAAAAAATCTGATATATATATATATATATACATCCATTTTATTACTGTATAGGGAGGTATATATATAAAAGGCATGTTTGGCAATCATATTTGATAACATAAAATTTGTTGCATGATGTTTTAAAATAAAAATATAAAAAATGTTAAGAAAAAAATTATTGAAAATTTAAGAGTTTTTTTTTTTTTTAAATACTGTTTATGACATTGTTTTTTTAGTTAACACCTAGGTAAGGCCCTTTCGGGACCCACCTAGGATAGGAACCTAGCGGTGCAAAGTCTCGCCCCAAGGATACACCTGGTAAGGCGAAAAAATTGGAAGACTTGGTAGGAGTCCAACACTAGCTAATTAGATGCTAGCCCCGAGCTTCTACCATCACTGCCAAAGCCCGGAGCCTGTTTATGACATTGTTGTTGCTATGGTGCATAAACAATTTGATATATTCGATTTTTTTTTTTTTTTTTTATTTGGTTGGGGACAGTGTAGAGTGGTGAAGTAAAATATGAAAATGTGATGGGTAACATTTATTGTAACATTTACGTTACTAAAGCATTTAAATAATGTAAAATAATTATAATAAGAATTTATATAGGCAAAATAAAAGTGATTTCGATGTATCAATAGATTTAAAACGAAGAGGTTTGAGTTTAAATAAGATTTAGCCTGTAAAATAATTATAACAATGATTTACGTAAACAAAATAAAGATATTTGGGTATATAAATAGATTTAAAATGAAGAAGTTTAAAATAAGGTTTTAGTTATATTAAAGTTGGATTCCAAAATATCCTCGTTGATGTAAATAATTTTAAAAAAGGAATTGTGTGAGTATGAAGTAGAAAGATAAAAAGTTGAATTCCAAAATTCAGAAAAATGTAAACGTAGATGTGTGCATATCTATATATATTATTAGAAAAATGTTTGTGGAAGTCAACTTCTAGAATCAATCCACGAGTATTGTTAAAACACAAATTAAATAAATATAGTTCATTTCAATTCTTTTAGTTAATAAATTTAAAGAAGAAATAAATAATAATAATAATAATAATAATAATAAAATTTATTGCACGTAAATCATACATGAGAAGAAGAACAAATTTAAAGAATAAAATATGAGATTTTTGAAGAGAGAGAAAAAAAGAAAAAAAAAAAGGAAATTTAATATATTATTATTATTATTACTCCATTATTATTGTTCTGAGAGTGTTCTGATAATATTGACAATATGAATATACTTAATTACTGCACCAATGACAATACCAAAATATGTTTTCCATCTAACTTTTAAAGCTCAACAAGTATTTGATTGTTATGGGAAAACAAAGAACTTAGAAATATACACATTAGTATACAAATTAAAGATTTATATATATGGTAATATAAAAAACGATAAGTACATCATAACTAAAGCCTTGCCCTATCCCCAGTGGGTTTCTCCTGAACTTTGGTGCTTCACAAGTTTAAGGTCGCGGGTTTTTTTTCAGGACTTTGGTGCTTTATAAGCTTAAGGTTTGGAGTTCGAATCTCTGTTGCGTGTTCTTTGTGGCTAATCTTCGTTGTCCTTGACTTATTTGGCCTTCGTTGTCCTGACTTATTTGACCCGGGTGGAGAGACACTCGGATTGTTAAAGGACCTAAGGTTTGTTGCTTCCTGTTAACTATAAAAAATAAAATAATAATAATAATAAATAAATAAATAAAGCCTTGCCCTACCAGCAGCAACTACCAGACCCTCCATCAGTTAATTAATTACCAGCAGCTGAGTTGAAAGTCTTGTTGAAACCTCTTCTCCAATGCATCATCCATCACCGCCATGTGCTGTTTTGCTTCGAATGTTGGTTGTGAGGTGGCGGGACTGTGATCCGAAACCCACTTCACTGTTGAAGCCTTGGCCTGATTAAATGGTGCGGTGGGTGGAGGATGAGGATGAGATGGCCCTAAATTTGATTTGCTGTTGAAACCCAATATGAGCATTGCTGCTGTTGGCGCCATTGTTTTCCAACTCAGAATGAAATGTCAATTGTTGACGCAATACACACACACAAATATATGTATATATATATAAACAGATAGATACATATGTAAAACACCGTGGAGCAGTAACAACCTGTGGGCGCTACCGCTGTTTGCTAAAACACCGTGGTTTTTACAGTTGGGAGTATAATCAGTCAGCATCAGATGTGGAGTATAATGAGTCAGCATCGGGATTACCACCCAAAGTCAATCACAATCCGTCACATAAATAATTATAATACACGTATGCCTATAAAATCAATCATAATAATAATAGTAATAATTCATTCAATGTCTATAACAAAATCTATTCATACCTTTGTATAAGTATATTTTATTTTACTCCAAAACCATAAAATCGAACTAAATTGAATCAATTTTATGATTTAGTTTGGTTTTAATTTTTATAAAATCATTCAAATTGATTTGGTTTTAAAATATTCTTAAACCGATCAAATTTGTATTATATGCATTTTAACTAATTAATGATAATTCAAATAACTATTTTAAATATTTACAATGACAAAATCTCGAAAAACCTTAGTCGAACTTAAATGTGAAGTCTTTTATACCCAAGTATTCACACGCATAAAATTTTTATAAGAGTACAGAATTTTCATTAAAATAAGAAGATAAAACACATAAAATATATTAATATTGAAACATTCTCTCAAATTTTACATCTGCCATCCCTCGTAATAAAGTTAAAAATATATATTATTTTAACAAATACATGGTTCACTCCCCACGGGATAGATGAGTAAAAGAGTTAGAATGATATTACGTTAATTTAAACTCTAAAAAAGATTTCAAGTTTTCAAATGGATCAAGTTTAGAACTTTCAACCCATTCTAAATTTCTTAAAAAAATGTAAAATTTTGCCTTAACGAAATTCTTATCAACTTCACATGACTTCAAACTTACATCCAACCATTTCCCTTTTATATCAAATCAATTATACAAGTAATACAAAACTAACTTATATTTATTCAAATTTCGTCAAAAATAAATTATCTACCCCAATAATAAAAGACTACATTCAATTTCAATGAAATTACTGATATACATTGGTATTAACACATAAAATTAGTAAAAGACACATTTAATTTCAGAGTTAATTACTGAAATACACACCAACATACATATAAAGTAGTAAAGGGCCATATTCAATTTCGCATTTAATCCCTAAGTTTTTAAGAGCCCTAATTTTAAATGGACTGTGAATTCGTTTAATTGAAAGGCCTAAATTTTTCATTTATTTGGGCCTATAACTCATGGGACGGGAAGGGGCCTAATTTTTTTTTTTATATATATATATTTTTTTATTTTAACCTAACACTCATGGGCCTGAAAAATTTGAGGCCCTCTAAATGTTGAGCCCCTTGGGTCAGGGCCGCCCTGATGGCATGACGATCTTTGACAGAAAAACTCACGAAGTCAAATGTCACTTAAAACAACATAAACTCGAATAATCTGCAATCACTTGCAAATAACGGATATCACTTGAACCTGATTTCAAACTCCAGACTTGAAATTAGTAAACTTGATGGCTTAAATCCTAGGAAAATATTTGAGATATATTAGTCATCAAACTAAAATTTAAATGGAGAATTAATCACCCTCTATATATATATATAAATTGGAAACACCTGCACTGAAATTTGCTATAACCCCCAAAAAATTGACTAATAAATTTATTCTGTTCAGAATAAATTCTGAAATCTTGCCACGTTATCTGGCAATTGGAGCATAATCTACAAATAAGACAAGCATTAAGCAGACCATGTCCATGATGAAATAAGTACTAGGACCAGCCTGAATTGGTTGCTTGTTATGCGGCCGGCAAGGACTTATGTGGTTCACCAGAAGGTTATCTTGTTCCTCCTGTCTTCTCTTCAGGCAATGATGTATACTTAATAGACATGTCATCATCTTCTGTGTCTGAATCCTCACTCTCTTCATCAGACCTGTCGACACCGTTAAGAAAGATCCCTATACACCATGTTGCAGCAGCCAGGAACAGAACCGATGTTAAAATCAAAGCAGTCTGCCTCCAGTCATCAACACGATCCTGCAGCGTATATCGAAAAAAGAATGCCATTTACTTAAATCAGGGCACGTTTAAGGCGGAAATCAATCCTATAAGACCGTTAATATTTAGAAGTTAGAACTGTTACAAGGCAAACTCCATTGGCCAATAACTTAATCAGAAAGTTTATCATAAATAAAATGGACATAGAGGGCTTGCAAAGAGACAGAATTTCCGAGACAATAAAATTACAACAAATTAAAAAAAAAATCGTGTTTTTTTTTTGTAGTCTGTGTCAACATCAGTGTTTTTGACACTTGGCCAACACATTTAGACACCCTAATCTGGGAAATCAGAACACATCCCAAGTGTCATATATTACTCTTCTTGATACATGTGGCTAGCATGTAATGAATACATTGTAATACAAGACAATAACATAATTGTAATAACAAAATTATAGTAGTAGAGTAACAGTAGTATATTTAATAATCTTTACGGTTAGCCTCAACTTCCACGCAATTAATTTTTTAGTATAAAAATTAGACGATTAATTAAAAATTTGGATATGTTGTTGTATCGACGTTGCGTTTGCATACTATAATTTTAGAATTGCATATGTTTCCCTTGAGCAATGCATTAAATCAACATCCAAATACTAGGAAAAATGGGCAAGGGATGTTGCACCGGCACTAGGCTACAATGAAAATTAGACAAGTTACTTCATCAGAAACTTCTATTTGAAGTTTTGGATTAGAAGAGTATGTAGAAGTATGCCGGTCATTCTGCTTATTAGGCTTGATTTCATCCAAACTGAATCCTAATGATGTTTTTGTTAATCCTCACTTTCCATATGGAAAAGTAGCTATTCAAAATGATTTGCCGAATATAATTATGACTTCCATTTTATGTTAATATTATGGGTCGTACAATCATAACAAGCTATGGAATGGTTTTACCACTAAAGATATGAACAGTCATCTCTAACATCCACTACTTTACACCAGGGAGGTGTGGGGCAAGGTCCCAACAACATAAACAATAGGATTGATAACTCCTTGCAAATGAACTATGAAGGCAAACCTGGAGAACTCCAACAAGGGGAGAGGAAGGTACATCACCAAAGATGTGAATGAAGACAGTAGACATGGCCATGGATAGCGGTCTCATGCTTGGTTTAACACAATGGAGACATATATAATTTACAGGACCCTGCAATTGCAAATATAGAATGTTAATACATGTCCAAAATTCCTGACTTGTAAAATTAAACCCTATTGGTTCTAATAACATTGGCACAACAAAAGTGGCTTAGTTCAGTGTAATATAACATTCATCCACTTGTACAAAGAGGTATGCCCCGGGTAAGTAAGTGCGTCTTCCAAAATAAAAGTTGAATAACCAAATTGCATGCTATATGCTGAAAACAACACCAACAATTCGGTATGACATTATCTCTCTATAGTTAACTCAACTATTTGGGGTCGACTGCATAAATCTTATTTTTTTTCATTATGCTCTATCTAAGGCCGTAACCTCAGTCAAAACCATATGTTATCATAAATTTCCTTACTAACTATAGTCATTTTATTATTGCAATTCCCCTTTCACTAGAATTACCATCAATATGCCCCATGTCATATTTCCTAATTGGTGCACTTAGGCGTCCTCTTTGTGCGTGCCTAAACCATCTTAATCAATTTTCTCTCATTTTATCTCCAATGGTGCTATTTCAACAATATTATGAATGTGTTCGTTTTTAATTCTATCTTTTCTTGTTTTGCCGCACATCCATCTCAATATTCACATTTATGCTACACTCTATGCATATGTTGTTTCTTAGCCGCCCAACATTTTGTCTTATAAAGAACAGCTAGATGCACTACTTAATTTAACAAATTCTGCCTTAAATTCTGTAATTAACAAAACAGCAAAACTTGATCTTCAATCTTTACTACACCCCTTTTTTGTATTTCTAAATTTACTACATTTACACTCCAGATTAAGTTTTATTACTACTCCTTATCTAGAGATCCCTCCGCACCTCGATTTCATCTGATCCTGAAGCCCTTCCCAGTTTCATCTTCCTTCATGCATTTTTAACCTTGCACGCCCCAATCCTAAGAAAAATATATTTCTTTCTGTTTTTCCAAAGGTTACCACCATATTCTTCTAAGCCAAAGCTTCCTAATAAATTTCATTAAAATAGAAAAACTTCATTAACTGATACTGAACCACAAAGTAGTATCTCGTCAACAGATGAAATATGGTATTCTATGTCACTGAATTAAATTTAAACCAATTCTCTTCAGGAACTATGATTAAATTAGTCATACAACTTTAAAAAATCAAGAAGCTGAATTCAGGTTAAATAAATTATATCACATGAAAATGAACTGGGAATGCTACGTTGATATTTTCTAGTCAATCAATGCTCTTCCATAACATCTAGGCTATCCCAAATGAGAGGCATCACTATACCCATTCAAAGGGTGGTGACGAAAGAAATAGCAAATCAGCCATGTTATGGCAGCAAGCTAGCGTTGGATATTCTACAACAGAGAATTATCTCACCAGAACAGCATGCGATGAAAAGAGGCAAAGTGACAAATAGTGAACAATGCATGGTAAGAGGCATCAAAATATAGTCACTGAATTTGTGAGGACAGAATCAAACCAATCTTTACAGGAGAGCATGTATTTAAAAAGGACTTTTTAGGTAGAATTAAGTCAGATAAGGTTGAACAGGATCATGAATACAATTTATTTCTCAACATCTAGGGATTATTTTACATAAATACGATCTATGACATGATTCATTTCATCAAGGATGCAGCTTATGGGCCAAACAAATTGAAAAATCTGCTAGAAGACCAACGATAACAATAAATTTATCCACTAAATACACAAAAAAGTAAGCATTTTTGCTACATACATGCTGCTCATAAAGAGAGTTTGGGAACAATGTTGCTCATAAAGAGAGTTTGGGGACCATGTTGCTCATAACTTGCCCAAAAAAAAAAAAAAACAATAATGCTGCTCATAAAACTAAAGTAGGATAGGTTAAGTGAAGGAATGATTCTGTTGTAATGTTTGATGTATACCTATAAAGTTGAAAGTAACATCCTATAATTAGCTATAAGACCAGTAATGCTTTATGGGACATAATGCTAGGCGGCTAAGATAAATGTTCATCAAAATGAGCGTAACAAAAATTATATTGACTAGATAGATGCATGGTAAGACGAAAAAAAAAAACAAAATTAAAAATAAGTCATTCGCAAGATAGTTGAAGTTCCACCAATTAGAGACAAAAAGAGAGAAAAACGTGGTATACGACTAAGACCTTAACTGCACCAAAGAGGAAGATTAACATGGTCAATATTGAGGGTAATATTAGGGTTATAGGAAGAGCAAAATCAACATGGATAAATATGGTTGAAGAATATGTGATAATACATGGTTTCATTAAATTTATGGCCCTAAATGAAGTAAAATGACAAAATTATATTCATATAAACACCACCAAATAGTTCACAAAATTTTAATGCTCATCAAGTGATCCATCAAAGTTTACTTAATAATAAACCAATAAGCATGCACTAGATGCAACTGCAATATTAAATGGACAAACAACAAAGAGAGAAAAAAAATTAATTAAAAAAAAAAAAAAATCTTTCCTTCTTTCATAAGAAAATTACCTGAGTGGCAAATACTAGTAGTTCACCAATTGAGAAAAGAGCTAGAAAACCATATAGGCTCCTTAAACAAAAGGCGCCAAAACAAAATGCTGCCCCCACACATGTTGTCACTGAAAGAAGCTGCAACAGAGTACAAAGACTTCCATAATACAGTCGAAATAAAAGTGTAATGCAAAGTTAAAGAAGATCACCATAATGATTGAACATAATGACTTCACAATCCTAAATGTTATACAATTGAGGCCAATAACAATCTCCTTATAATCTGAACTTATAGAAAAAATATATATATACTAAGAAAGAAAGAAAATCTTTAGAATTTGCAGAAAACCAGATGCGAGCATTTTCCTTATGCTGCTACTTAGGGATTTATGAATAACATAGAACTACTCATAGTGGTTTCAGTTGTGACATTACAAAGTATATCCACAATTCACCATTGTTATATAATGAAAGAAAAATAAGCGGCATACATATTCATTCAACAACACCCCTTCAGCCTCGCAACAGCAAATTGTACTTTGTTCATGCTTCTTTGTTGTGTTAGTTAAAATGCCTAATTTAAAATATTAGAAAGCATGATTTCTGCTTGTAAGTAGGGATGTCGACAGGATGGGTTCAAGGTGGGTCAACCCTATCGCAAACCTGTCCCGTGAAGAGAATTTAATTTCCAAACCGCCCACCCTGCATTGGAGTCAGTGCAGGTTCGGGTGGCACACTAAGAGCGTGCTTCTTTCTGAGGGAGAAAGATCTTGAATATATTTGTGATAAAGTTTTAGAAAATCCAAGTATAAACAAATAGTTAATAATTATAATCATTAATTTTCTTAACTTTGCAGTTGAATTTCTAAATTTTAATGAAACAACAATGAAAAGAACAAGGCTCTAACTAATACTATTTATTCCTAATCTCGGCGGGTTCAAATTTTTTACTATCTTGCTCAACCTGCCCCTAACCCGATAAGAGTGCACACAAACCCTTTCATTAGGGGAAGGATGGTTGGGTTAAATTGACATCCCTACTTGTAAGAGACAAATTTGCACAAACCCCATATTTTAGATAAATCTTCAATCCACAAAACTAGCCCAAAATATTAGTTGTGTTACTGAAAATAGCGATGCCAACAGAACATCATAACTACATGGCCTGCTTCAGTTCCACATTCCTCAGAAGACAATTTGTCTCATACTCTGCTACCATAGTTTGCCTGGACTCAAGTTACCAAACTCACTATAATGTGATTAAACACCCGTGGCATCTCAACAATTTATTAACTTGTCCTCGCAATAACATCCAATCACAATAACATCCAAAGAGAACATCATAACAGCAGATAATTAAAAATCAAAAAAGTAAAATATCTTGGGGGCCTTCCAAAAAAAATATTTACGGTTTTAAAAGAATTTCTCTCAATTTATGTCTTCTTTCAAAAACTCTACAAAATTTCCATATTTTTTCCAGTTTATCAGTTGGTGGTAGCAACCTTTGGGAAACCGCTTGTTGCACACTTCTAAAATGGGGTATTGACTAACTGATTGTATTCAAATTATTCTTCTTAGCTGGCATTCTGTAAAAGGGTTGTTATTTGAAGTTCAATAATAGAACCTGCCTGGACCCCCTAAAACACATTGGGAAGGGTCATAACAAGACTACTGTTATAAGTTTGCCAGAATACACAGTTGTTATTTCCTTCTTTTCTTCAGGTTAATTTTTTCGAAGTGCATTGCTAGTATTTATTGAGTTTGCCAATACATACCACCAATATCTCATCATTCACAACATGTCCATACGGATACCAGCAACAATGTTTAAGTTGAAACATTTATTAGAAATTCTGGGTTTTGACCCCACCAAAATGGATATGTTAGTAAGTGTAATGCTTTAGCATCAGCCCCAGCACCAATGGGCTTGCAGGCCAGATTTTCTGGTTGGAAAACTGACCATTATCAGCTGCATCTGAGCAGAAAAGTTTCCTCTGTATTTCAATAAGAGAATGAAGAATACACACCTGAACTAAAGAAAGTATATTTTTACAATCCTAATCAAAGTCCACCATATTAATCAGCACAATGGCATTCTGTCTTTCCTTTTTTATTTATATTTTTTTTCTGGTATCTACCTTTTTAGTGGTATGTCCTGGTAGCAAGAAACTATGTTTACTTGAACCACAGTATTATCTAGCAAGTGAATAGTAACTAATTAGATCTAAATGTCCAGACCCTTTGGTAAGCCACAAGTACACCATTTAAATTAATACTACCATCTAACTGACAGCCACAACAAGCATACAAAAATTATAGTTGCGAGAAAGTCACAATTGAAAATTAACATAATCCAGGCTCAGCCATAAACCAGAATTGACACCTCTGTTGATCTAAAACATCCCATTTGATAATCCATCAACATAAGATCTAACTGACCTGTCGTGAATATTGGCTGTTACAGCCTGCGGTTAATTGAGAGAGTTGACTATTCTGATGCATATAATCTGCTAGCTTGATTATAGGAATATTCTGATCTGCTAGCTTGATTATAGGAATTGATAATTTGATTAGCTTAATTTATGATAATTGGCTAAATGATTGTGCTGATTGTATGTCTTGGTTTCCTATATAAACCCACAAGTACTCACTTTTATGAGATATACAAGAATTCTTCTCTTCTATTTTCTAGCTCTTATTTACAACATGACCCATTCAGCTACCATTACAAAAATTCCTTCTTTTAAAATAAATAAATAAATATCATAATTACCAGTGCAAGAGGTAATGCAAAAATTTTAGTTGAGAGTCCAATAATTAAAACTTAGAAGACTGTTATCATCAACTCTTACTGATCAAGAATGAAAAAACCAATCTTTTGCTCCAAAAAGCTCAAATTAAAAAAGAAAGCAACCACATATGCACAAAATGGACTCTGGGTTTGGTCCTGCCTACATAGGGTGTGCTAGGGATGCATTGGAGAGAAACCTAAACTTCGGCATTATTATACACAAAATGGTTGTTTCCATACTTGAACATGTGTCCTCTTCCTTGTTAGCTGAACTTTAACCATTGCTTTTTCCACGTGTTTGTTCTCGATATTATTTCTACAACTGTAGATTTAGAGCCAATCAATTGCCCAACTAAGCAATGGCCCCCTAAAATACACACACACACACACAAAGTGCTCACTGTACAGTCTGTACCCATCTGAAAGAAAATAATAAGAGATTTATTGCAAAGTTCTGATATAGAAGACTCAAATCCTATAGGGAAAGAACTTACTGAAAATTAAAGAGGGGGAGAAGGAAAAAAGACTGAGGACTGGTTAGCAGTCAAATAAGCGATAATGAATTTTGGTAACGAAACATCCCAAACTGGAAAAGAGATCATGTACAAAACATTTAAAAAAGAAAAGAAAAGAAGGAAGAAACAAATAATTATGTCTAAAATTTCTAAATCTCAAAACTTATCCTTTAAGTCCAAGCGTGTCTACCTTGAAAGCGTTAGAGATTGTGGAAGTCATATAATCCAAAACATATCCTCCCATTAGTGTCCCCAATATTCCACATGCAATTGTAACCGCTCCAAAAATCATATCTGCGTTGTGCTGCAAAAAGACCCAAATCTTAATAAAAAATAAACCCAAGTAATTGATGCTTTCTTATCTTATCATCATCATCTTCTTCTACTTCGTCATCTTTCTTACTTTCTATTTTTTCTTTTTATATTTATTTTTTCTCTTTTCGTTCTTTCTAGTTCTAACTTTCCAAAAGCAAATTCAATTTGCAACTTGCAAGTAATATGAAATTACAAATAAAAAGGGAGTAGCTCAGCTGGTTATATATTGAATTAAAAAATATGTACTTGTGTCATGTTAGAGATTGTTAAAAGCATACCATATGGTATATACTATGACCAGCCTTTGGACCCCAATACGAATATGCACCAATGACAAAGTTGTATGATATGTATCCTGCAAAGATCCATTTGGAGTAGAAGAATTATTATGTTGAAATTTAGTAAATCGACATAATTAAGTAAAATACATTCCATATAATAGAGGAGTGCTTCTTTAACCACTATGAACTAGTTAAGCTAAAGTTATCGAGACACATTTAAAAACCACCACAAACAGCTATAACATCCATAGAACCCAAGAAAACATAAGTTCAAAACGATTCAAGATAATTTATTCTGGACAAGAAACCAACATGAAAGACTGGAGGTTAGGTGGGGGTTGAATAATATACCTAGAATGTTTACAACATAAACTTTTTCAAGCGAAAGAACTTTCATGTCTTTCAAAAATCTTGAGAATGCACCCTTTGACCTGTAATAAAAAACAAAACAAAAACTCCACATTCAAATCTAGAACTAAACATGCAGAATTCCATTCGTAAAACTAAATGGTTCAGTCCTACAGCTAAATACTATTTGCTTCAAAGGCAGTACGGCTAGAAATGAGCCAAGCGAGTTGAGCAATTGTTCAAATTCAGCTAAAAAGTGAACTTGCTCCCAAAATATTATCAAGCTTGGATTGTTATATATCTCAAGCCCCGATTTCGAACAAGCCTAAGGCTCAGCTGAACAGAAGCACAAATTGAGTATCTTGGTCTTTAATATAATTCTCAAGTGTTTGTTTAACTTATCAAAGAGAGTGAGACTCAAGCTCAATAAATCAAGAGCTTCAAAATACAGCTTCAAAATACAATCAAACTAGGTTTGTCTTTCTCGGGATCAATTTTAAGTGTGTCGCAAACTGTGCTAAATGAGCAGTTTGGCTTTTTCAGCCCTGAAGGCAGCACAGATTCAAGCCCACAGTCATAAACGACAAATAACAAGCTTAGGGAGTAGCAACTCACTTGGAACGCTTGTTCAAGCTTTGATCTACAAACTCTTTCTCTGTGGATGTGTCACCTGTACCATTTGAAACTGTATTTGCAGCAAGTATTTAGATCAGATTATTATGGGCAAGAGGGAAATTCTTCATGCACTACATATACCTAAAAAAGAAAAAAGGATCAAACCAAAATTTCCCAGTTATGATGTATAAATATTGAATAACGATTCAGATGAAGTATGTGATTGTGAAATAACGGTAGAAGGCAAAGCGAAGATGTAGTATGGTAACAACAAAACAGTATGTCTTCAAAACCTGCAGTTGTAATTCCTTTAAGACCATACAAATTGAGTTTATTGGCAATACCTCAGTAATAATTTGGTGTCAATATCGATTTCACTAGACAATAGTGATTTCGGATCTGATATAATTGAAAATAAAGGAAAGGAAAAATAGGCAAAGCTCATCTCATGTTTTAGTACAAAAATGGGGAGAAATTGTTAGCCCCTCAAATACTAATTTTATAAACTTAAATTGATAGTCATAATGTGCACATGACTAGAATAAAGATTGAAGAGGAATTCTGCTGATCCCAAGTACTCCATCTCCCGGGCACCCCTATGTTAGAGTTATAAGAGTTATAAGTTTTTAAAACTCTTAACCCCAGTAGAATTTATATTGATTGAGAAAATACATAAATACTAATTGTCCAAATGCATCTCTTTAATGGTCACTAAGTTCAACGTTAAAATGTGAAAGGGGTGTGAAACACCAATAGTCACTGAAAGTAAAATACACCTTTTCTTACAGACATGTCTTTTATTAATAGGTGTGAAGCAGCCTACAAAGACCAGAGTAGTACTTTAACAGTTAAATATACAAAGATCAACATCTCACTTCTGCCTTCCTTATAAATACGATATCTTTCCTCGCCTGCAACTCTGTCTTTCATATTTTAGATACTGTTATTTTGGGCAACATGACATCAAAAATTTAGTGATTGTCCATCTGCGAACGTGCTCAGCTCATGGAAGGTTTTGGAGTAGTATCATGGGACCTTTCATACTCAAACATTGCCTAAACAAAGGGAGGATACAAAGGCTTTAGGAAAGCACAAGCATTACGTGCCTGCCCATTCGACAGGCCAGAGTTTCTTTCCTCTCTCTCAATTTGATCCGTTTATTATGTTGATTTTAAATAACTGGCCCATTACCACCATCAACATGACAACATCATCCTTGCCTTAATCCCATATGAATGGGATCGATCAATAACTGGCCCATTATGGTTATACTAATTTCTCTACCATATTTTCCTTATGATCTTATATATTGTCCTTCTTTAAAATATGTATATTAGGAAAAGTTATGATCAATTTATTGTTACTTTTATTTTATTTCCAATAGAATTATAATTAAATATACAAAATCCCCCAGCTGTGAGAATCAGTTTCCTTTTTTCATTTTCCTTCATATGCATTATGTGTTTTGGCATGGGGAATACCGAATATGTGTATCGGGATTGTTCAGGATTCTCCTTAGTCTTTCCTAGAGTCATGAACTCTTATGCTTCGTTTGGTTGGAGGGATGGAAAAATGGATGGAAGGGAGAGGTGAAGGGATGGATGAGGCATCCCTAGGGAAGGGAAGGCATCTCCTCCATTTTTTGTTTAGTTGGATGGAATGGATAGTAGAAATGATGGATGTGGTAACACCTTTTTTTTTTTGTTTGGTTGGAAGGAAGGGAAAGAGAGTTTTATATTGTTTTTACTAATATACCCTAATTATATAAAAATATAAAAATTATATATTCATTCCAAATTATGCAACAAGGTTAAAAATGGAAAGTAAAAACTTGTTGGTTATTATCCAGCGCTCTCTCTCCTCTTCCCCCCAATTTTGGGTGGATAGAAAATTACAAAGGAAAGAGGGATGAAGCATCCCTCCTTGCTTCCTCCCACTTTTCCATTCCCTTCAACTAAACACAAAAAAACTTCTTTTATCCCCCCTCTCATCCATCCCTCCTCAATCTTTCCCTCCAACCAAACATAGCTTTAGAATTGCTTTCGGGACTTTTCTCTTATGACAGGCATGTGGACCCGGAAAGTTGTCCGTGTGGGCCTGGGGCAAGCCAAGTGCTCGGGATTTATTTTCAGCATTATTCATCCATGTGGGGACATGTTTCGTATTTATTGATTCCATGAGGGACTTTTGTGTACATATTTAGTTCAAGGCATTAATGTGGTATGTTATAAAAGCGAGGGGCATAAAGGTCTTTTTAGCTTAAAGTACTTGGTTTAAATAGAAGAGAGAGAGAGAGAGAGAGAGGGACCAGATTTCTGCCTTCTTGGCTGGCTCCCCTACCTTCTCTTCTTCCTTCATTTCTCATTCGTAGATCTACATTTTCAAGCCCACTTTTCATCACCTTCCTTTGTGATTTGGAGGCCATAGTTGAAGAAGTTGTAGACCTCGACAAGAGCTTCAATCCTACGGTTTTAGTTTTACATTTTTTGCATTTCTTCTTGGGTGGAATTTCTTGTCTTTGCTTATATTTGAGGTAGGGGGGTGTGTTATACTCTTAATCTATGTGATTAAGATTCTTTGTGTTGTTATGATCATAGAGGTATGTGAAGCATGCTACTGTGAGTTAGTGTGCTAGCCTAAGTATATTATGATGTACTTGAGGTAATATGTGGGTTCCATGACTTTAAATGATGCATTTTGTGCTTAAGGTGTAGAATATGACTCCTAGCATGACTATATGTAATAGACATGGTCACATGGTATGTGTGTATATCTATAATCATTATTTTCCATGTAAGGCTCATGTTGTATGAGGTTAATTGTTATTGTAGCTAGAATTGCTATTCTTGATGAATTTAAATCTATGGAAGCATGAGTAGACAAGCATGTTAAGTTTATGTATATCAAGTGTTTGATAAAATGCCCAAGTGATATTCATGTTATATTTAAATTATCAATAATGTTAAATTTGATACCTATTGCATTGAAAAGCATGCCACGTTAGTAGTTTGATTACTAGGGCAAGGATTGTGTGATTTTTATATTCACCTATGTGCGCTTGTAAGGTGTTTAAGGTGGTGGAATCAATATGTGCTTATATTGTGGAATTACTTGTGATTTTGGGATATACTCGGGTTTTTAAGAAGAGAGGAGATGCTTCTTGGGGCTGGAAATTACCGTATATTGGCCAATCTGTAAGTCACGGACGGACTAATAGCCCGGGAACGGCAATTTATGACACGAGGCTCATGCACGTGACAAGCAGGGGTGTGTGAGTACGACATGGAGCTTCGGCACATGTCCGGGGGTGTGTGTGAGTTGCAAGTTATTTCGATTGTTGATTTCAGTTGATTAAATTGATCATGATTGCAATATTTTACATTTCATCAACTTGTATGTGATTACTTGAGATGAGATGGGTTATTTTTCTCGTTAAAGTATGAGATTGCATTGCCTAGCATAGTTTTATGTTTGTTGGACTCAAAGAATGTAGCTTAGTTGTATACCATTCTTTCCTTTGCACACCCGGTTGACATTTTGAGGAAAAGGCGTTGCAATGGAGGAAGTTGCCCATCCATAGCTTATGTGTTGCTTGATGGAGTTGTTGGATGCCCAATGATGAATTTGGCAGGCTATGTGAAATGCTATATGTGGTCTTCACTCATATTTTGGTTATTGAAACTCGTATAACTTGCTATGTATTTTTTGAATATTGTAATGGTTGAAATTGAAGAGAGAAATATAAAATGAAGAACACAAGAATATAACCTAGTTTGGGCACTAGGACTTACATCCACGACTCACAAAGCCCAAAGGGCTACTTCTCTTTCATTACATTCTCTCTTAATTTTGTTTACAAAAACCACCTCTATTTATACGTGAATTGGGGAAGACTTGTAGATAGAGAATATAAATTTCCTAGTCTACAAATATTTTATAATAAAGGAATTACACAGAAAGTCAAATACAAATATGGCAACAACTTGTTGCCCAAGTATAGCAAAGTCAAGATTCTGTCAAGAAGTGATCTAAGGGCTTAAATCACACCTATAATTATTCTCCAACAGTAACCTTATGACTTTCCATGTATTTTGGGAGGGAGAAATGGTATAGGAACTCAAATCCATCTTTTGAAGTTCATATACGAAATCTACTCTCATTAGCCATTTCAAGTTATATGTGACTTATGAAATGATGTAATAAGGCCTTGTATGTCATTTCCATCTATGTACGTATGCTATATCCATGATTTCATTTCGCTGTCATTGCTTAATTTGTACATACTCACCTTGTTGAATCACTTGACCATGCCATAATATTGTTTAGAGTTGATTAGACTCAGTTTCGAGACTCTTGGACATGCATGAATGTGACTTAGGTGAGACATTGGACATAGGCCTTGAGGAAGGATCATTTTTCTCATGCACCGGGTTCCTAGAATTCGGGGCGTGACACCAACATTTAAAACCTATGTATGTCATTCCATTATAACTCTACCATCTGTGAGAATCAATCATACATCTGCAAGTCCATGACATAATTACGTTTTCACCACAAGAAAATAGAAGTTTGTGACCAACGGGTCAGTGGCCTAGCAGTATCAGACCCTTACTTCTCAAAGGGAGGTCAAGGGTTCAAGCCTCAGTAGAGGCATGTGTGTGTGAGTACCAACTATAAAAAAAATTAAATAAATAAAGTTTGTTTGGATTGAAGGAGTTGGAAGAAAAGAAAAGGAAAATGAGGGAAGACCCTAATCAAGTTTGGTCTAAAATGAGGATGGAAAGGAAAGGGAAAGGAAAGAAGGGGGGTGGAGGTTGTTAACTATCAAATAATGATTTTTATCTTCCGAAAAAAAAATAATAATAATGATTTTGATCCATTACATGAATCCCATAGAAGAATCAGACTTAACTGTCTTATACATAAACTTTCCTCAGTATCCAAACTTTATTGCTTGCAAAGCAATACTCTAATTGAAAGATTAATTCTGATGAGTGACTATTCCATCATGGAGGGTTTAATAGTTAAGGTATGACAATAATGGCTATGGAATCACATCAAACCAATAATTTTTTATTTTTTAAAATATTTGCATTTTTAACCAGATGTATATAAATTGAAAATCAAATTTATGGATCTGTCCATTAATGGATTTGGATCCTCTCCTGCGATATCTCCCTCCTGCATTCCATTAAAACAAATCTGAGGGTTTAAAGGGGGCCACGTCATCAAACAATTTCCTTATGATGACAGTACACGGTTTGAAAACCAAACGAAGTGCAAACAGTAACGGAAGACGCTTCCATCTATTTCTGAAATTCCAAACAAAGTCGAATTCCGATTCAACTGCATTCATTGTACAAATTGCGCCACCACCTCCAGCAACCAATCCGGTCTGATTGAATCAGAAAGATTTGGTGAGGTTGGTTCAGATGTTGGATCCTAAAAATGAAGTGGTTAGCATGAAGTTTCTGGTTACAGTGATTGCCAATCATGGTGGGATAGGAGGGAGTGAGGTTTTCCAGAGGAGGCTGGTGGTGTGGCAGGGGCTCAATTACATTTGCAGAGGCTTGTGGAGACGGAAGTCACCAAAGCTAAGAAGGTTTTGCAGAGACTTTCTGCTAATCATCTCCGGAGTATCTTTTGAAAGGTTCCCATGGTCGGCGAGATGGAAAAAGCAGAGAGTGATCAACATGGAAGCATATTTACTGAAGGCGTCTTCCGTGAAAATCATTTGGTCTTAAAACAGTGTAAGATCAAGTGGTGAGGTGGCCTTTTTTAAACCCTCGGATTTAATTCTATGGAATGCAGGAGAGGATCCAAATCCGTCCATTAATATGTGCTTGATCAATATTTGATTACTTAAAATACTTTAATAGGACCTATCGTCATTTTCTTTAAGAGTAAATCTCTTCCATATTGGTTGATACAGTGCAATGGAGAAAAGAGCAATAAAAGTAAAAATTATGATATCGATAAACTCTCATGCATATCAAACCATAATGCACCTTTAATTTCTGAGGCAGCCGTCTCCACATATATCGATGCTTTTTCTGATCTAGCACGAGAAAAACCTGTATTCACAAATTTTTAGGAACAGCTGGAAAATGCAAACAAGTTAAACCAAAACCAAAAATTGTACCTAATACAACATGCACCTTTCAACTGCAAAGGTTTCATAATGAAACCTAAAACAGCAAATGGAAGCATCAAAACTGCTTCCCCCAAGAATGCAACGCGCCAACTTAAATAACGTCCGACCTATAAAATACAGAAGAAGGATCATCATTGTTTGATATCTGGATTTATAGTAGCGGTAACATGGCCAAACACATCATTATGACTCAGTTAGATGTTCTAGTAATTGAGGTAATCTTTTCCATAGAGAACCTTAATTTTAGTGTCAACCAAACAAATGCACTTACCAATCCGCCATAAACATAACCTAATGCAATCCCAGATGGTATGCACATGTAAAACGTTGCCAGCCATGCCGTTTTCTGTAGAAAGACTCAAAGAGAGGGAATAAATGCATAATACGAAAAAATGGAGTAAAATGCAAAAGAAAAAATTATAACAGAAAGGGGACCCAATATAGAGTGACAGAATGATTATATCAAAAATTAATACTTGATTCAATCCCAATATGTGTATTACTGAGAATGAGATGGATTGATGGCATACTATACCCAAAAGCAAAAAAAATTATAGAATGGCCTGAAATTTGGATTAACAGGTGATATCTCAACGTGCTCCGCAGCTCTACTAGTTTTAGTTCAGACACTTAGTCATAAATGTTTGTGACATGCACCTATTAAAATAACATTTAAACCAACAAGATCATGCAATATGTTATGAATTTATGATATATAGAAACAAGTAACACTAAAAAGAGAAAAGAAGCAGGATAAACCGTGAGAGGTGAGGCCACCAAGCAACATCATGCTTATTCATACTGACGAAATGGAAAATAGATTGGGCATGCTTTTAGAAATTAAGTGGGAATCCCCTAATGCAAATAAATCCAAGGAACTTAATGGTTAAAATGAGAAATCAATGGTTCACTTAATATTTTCCAAGCATAGATGTCACTGAGTTTTGGCTTTAGCTGATTTGGCATTCTATTCTTATCCGAGGACCAAAACTGAAACTTAAGCTCCAACAAATGTTTAACTAATCCTAGAGCCCGTCTTGCCCCGAGACTTATGAGGATAATTTAAATTTTTAATCATCTAACAATTTTTCTTTTTTTATAAGTAAATAAAATCGTATAACTATAAAAGTGACAAAGGGTGCAACCTATGTAAACGTAATGTACACAAGATCTCAAAAAACTATGTTCCCTCCATGAAATTTGAATCAACTATAAGATCAATAAAGAGTGACATTCTGAAAATTTCCCAGAATCCAAAACTAGAGACTAGAGAGTAGAGAGGATTTAGTAACAATCTCTTCCTTTACAGACGGACCATAAGCACCATATTCTCAAAAAGTACACCTACTCTATTTCCATACACACCACACCTAAAACAGGGAAATGCATGCCAATCCTGCTTAACTCTGTTGCGGGTGATCAAGGCGACATGCTAACAGCACCAGCATTTACCAAAGCACAAGTGACCCCAAAAAGAGAGTACAACATACCCGATAATGCAACAAAAGAGGAGTATCAACTTCCTCAGCCTGCTTTATGTATACAGCTCCATCTTGGAAGCATCTTCCTTCTATAGCCAAAAATATCCAAGGTAGGTAAGGCTGTCAATGGATCAAATCAAGATCTGACCCAAATTAAATTTGATCTATTGAAAATTTCTTATCTTCATACCAGTTAAATCGGTTAACCCTTTTTGGTAAAAAAATCCAAGATAGTCTGATCAAACTCAAATTTATGTTATATTCAGATTAAACTATAATTCTGATTAAATTTAAGAATAAAAGTTTTTATATGTACAAATATATTCTGTGTATATTTAATATTTTTCTTAAGATATTTATATGATACAATAAAAATCCAAAACTCTCTCACTTAAAAAAAAATGCCCCTCCAACTCCTCAAACCTCCACCACCAATCTAGACACAATAAATCTCTCGCTGCCAAGCAATGTGTTCACATTTTTCTCATCTCATTCAGCAAATTACACCAGGTGTGCAAAAAAATGCCTCTATTCACCAAATTAATAGTCAAGATCCAGCGCAAAAAATTCATGGCTACAAGGTGCAACTTAGCACGTGACTATGTCACAAAGCTTCCATGGAAAGAAAGACAAGCCCCTTCCCTCATCCAAATTTAATCGGCTATCCTTTTTTGGTAAAAAAATCCAAGATAATTGGATCAAACTCAAATTTATGTTAAATTCAATCAGAGTAAAATCTATAATATTTTCTTAAGATATTTATATGATATATTACAAATCTGTAACTCTCTTCCTGATAAAAGAACCCCTCCAACTCCACAAAATCTCCACCACCAATCTAGACATAAACAACTGAACATAAATTATAAAAAAATAAAAATTTAAAAAAAAAGTTCATAAATCTCTCGCTACCCAGCAATGTGTTCACATTTTTCTCATCTCATTCCGTATATTACACCAGGTGGGCAAGAAAACGCCTTTATTCACCAAATTAATAGTCAAGATCTTCAAAAGACTGATTGTCCACTGCAAAAAATCTGAGCCTTAAAGGTGCACCTTAACGCGTGACTATGTCTCACAAATCTTCCATGGAAAGAAAGACAAGCCCCTTCCCTCAGAAGTCTAAAATATAAGTTTACCTCAAAATTATTCCTCTTAAGCTCCCATCTCAATTACTTTTTCAACAACTCGAAACAAGATCAAAGACATTTAGAAATTTTGTAACTATTAACTCATACAAAAATAAATTTTGAAAGCTTAGCACATCACAGCACCAGGCTATAAGCATTGCAAGATCCTTGAATTAAAAAAATAAAAAAAAAATTTAAAAAAAAAAAATTACATGGAACAGTATGTGATAAAAGGAACACGAAGACAAGTATCTGAATAATTCCAGAATGTTCAAGCGTTGAGATAAAATAAAAAGACCGGCATCACATTACACTACTGGTATACTAAAAATCAGTAAGCAGCTGGTAAGGATCTTATAAATATTAAATGTCAAGCATGAGACAAATAGGAAGAGATTAAACCTGAGCAGCTGGGGCATTATCATCAATGAATGGAGCTGCAAGACTTATGAAAGAAGCCTCACCAACACCCACTAGCCTAAAAAGAGAAACAATGTAACAAGAAGGAAGGCTTTATGACCAGTGTAACAAAAAACAGATTCATAAGTTACAACAAAACTATTAGATGTACTCAAAGTACTTTACTCACATGCGGCAGAATGTAATGGACCAGAAATCAACTGAAAAACCACAACCAGCAGTAGCGAAAGTCCAAACTGACAGTCCAACTCCAATCAGCCTAAATGGATTTACACTGTAGATTTCATACACAAAAACCAATAAAAAAATAAATCAATCAGATAAATTCAGCACTAAGTCGCTAACATATACCAAAAGGGCTCCAAAAAATGAAAAATTAAATTATTCTTTCTCCAAATTTTTTTTTTTTTTTTTCCCTAGTTGGTACTCACACACATTCGTCTCTTCTAAGACTTGAACCCTTGACCTCCCTTTGAAAAGTAAGAGGCTAATACCACTAGGCCACAGGCCCGTTGGTTTCTATCTCCAATTTGAGAGGATAACAGGACAAATGATGAGCCTGGAAGCACAAAGTTGATTTCTCTGGAACTTCAATTTTATCAAAAACAAGAAGCTTATGCTTCATCCTAATAATTTATACCATAGAACTTGCAGTCCATAAAGGGTCAAACAGGAAGCTGGCTATGAAAACACAAGCTTTTAGTCACACCTTGTTTCGAGCCTCTCCATACATAAGAACCTTTTAAAGAATACTCATCATAATCATCATCATCCTTGACTTAATCCCATATGAATGGGGTCGGCCACATAAATTCTCTATCCAATCTTTTCTATTACATGCCATTTCACCTACTATATTTAACTTTTTAAAGTCATTTTTAATAACGCCATCCCATGTTATTTTTGGTGTCCCTCTCCGTCTCTTGCCTTCTATTACAACTAGTCTTCCTCTTTTGACCAACGCCTCTAAGTCTCCAATTTAAGTGTCCAAACCATCTAAGTCTACTCTCTTTAATTTTCTCACCAATGGGTGCCACACCTAATTTTTCTCTCACACTTTCATTAGTGACCCTACTAGTCACTCCACTCATCCATCTTAACATTCTCATTTCCGCTACATGAAGGCGTTGTTCTTGTTTCTCTTTTAAAGAACACAGTTGTAGGAAATTTTGCACTACATAAAGAAAATTGTTTATGCAATACAAGAACCAAGCTAACAATAAATGCATATAATCCAATGACTAAATTACAGCATAAATTTAGGGTAAGATAGTGATCTAAAACAGACTTTCTGTTGAAAATACAACTCTCCTGTAAAATGGAATGGCTTAATAGAAGTAATATTCCCATATCTAAATGGGTTTGAATGCAACGGTTGTCAGCCTAGATGCAAGAGATGTAATTTTAATATTTTATATTTTTCCAGAGTTGAGAATATTTTCAGTGAAACAAAATTGGTGAGAAACCCATGTTTAATAATTGTAATGATCAATTATCGCCACATCATAATCACTAAAAAACGCTTTACCAAGTTTAATTGCATCTGTGTTACTTCATATCTCACTTGGAACTGTTTTTTAACCATTTCACATTTTTTTCATGTAAAATATTATTCTTTTCAATGTTAAGTCATATTATCTTTACTTTTCAATACATTTAAACTAGAACCTGAAACTTTACTCTCCACCTCATCAAAGCTATGATGACGTAGGCAACTTTTAAACCACTATAAGTTTATATTACCTCTTCGTTAAGGATGCAAAAATTGGAGATGCCACAAGAAGTCCAACCATGAAAGCAGAAGACAGAGCGCCATCTTCAAAATTTGTCAAGTCAAAGTCACCCCTAAACAATAAATAAGAATTATATCAAGTCAAATAAGTAAAATACATACGTATATTACAAAAAGAAAAGGTTGTAAGAGATTTGGTGCTCAATTTGAATATAATTGTCAAGAGATTTGATGCTTAATCAAAAGGAGCAGAGTTCATGGAGGAGAATTTTCTACGAGTGCCTGAGTAGTGGTGATAATAATCTTTAAGGACATAAAATTGCAAATTTAAAAAGTCAATCAGACCATAACAATTATTGTATCTAATATATTCAATTTGCGGACATTTTTTGGATCAGTAATAAGTCGGGACCATCATACTACAAATCCAAAAACCATAAGGCATTTAGCCCAATGGTATAACCTCCCCATCCTCAAAGAGGAGGGGAGGGGTTCGAGTCCTGGCGTGGGCAAAAAGTGTGTGAGAGTGTGTTTCTTGCCAATGAAAAATTAAAATTAACATTAAAAAAATATATGTACAAAATTCTTTTCAATGCAAACAATACACTCTCTGTATAGTGTAAACATACAAAATATATATATATATATATATATATATATATATATATGATATTATTTCACACCATATATGAACATACAAGTGATACGACCTTTCTGACTACCTTTGGTAGGGACTTCTTTCTCATTGGATATACAGCCTATTGTACACGTGTCTAGTGAAAAGAGACACATGCAGGCCTTTTCTTCTGTGTCTAACACATAGTAAAAAGACATGTATGGAACAGACACATATACTCATCGACCCTTAGCTCAATCACATAGCAGCTGCATTAGATAAACAGCCATTCATATTAGTTGTCACAAAGTTTATCTAACAAAAAGGAAATTAGACATCATATAATTTGTTTACTTTATATATGGGGTAAATAGCTGAAAATGGGCTACTTGAGGAAAAATGCCCATCCATTCCCATAAGTGGCCTTCCCTTTATTCCATTTATCCCTTACAAAAACCTAATGAAGGTACCTTTGGTGCAACCACAGAGGTTTTTTACATTACTCGAAGTCAAGGACAAAGGTCCGTAATAGTGAATAAACAAGTTCACATTCTTTTATTGGCAGCTGCAATATATAACGAGATCTTCTTCTTCTTTTTTTCTTTTTTTTTGGGAAAACATACATGTGTTTTACATATGAACAACAATAATAACAGCAGGGATAAATAATACCCACTCTTTCTTTATTGAATAACATCAAAACATACAAATTAAATGAGAATCAACAAACATGTAAATGTAACATAACATGGAGAAAAATGATGAAGAAAAAAAGAAAATAACTAATGATGGTGCAACATAAAAGCAATAAAATAAGATGAAGCTTTTAAAACTTACTGAATTCCGCTACCAGATGAACATTTACCACCTTTGCAAGTTTGGCGCATCCCATTTACACCATTGCTTGCTATTGCTCCTCGATCCGCATAATTTAATAAATTAATCACACAAAAAATATAGAGTAACCTGCAAACGTATCGACATAAAATCTTTCAAACCCCTCAAGAAACACTAAGATATTATTTTCCCTGTTTCTTGAGAAATTCTTTTCCCTGTTTTTGAATCATACATCAAAATAGTTAATAGAGTTTATATATATCTTTTGAAACACTAGCAATCATGCTCACATTCAAACTAAGTTACTGATTAAAAAACATATTCACCGACTCTAACTAATGTCACTATGTCGGGAAATGATACGAGCATGCATCTTCTGCTCGATTAGAGTACAACTGGCAGAATGCATAATACATTGAATAGAACAGCACGCATCAAAACGCAGACTAATAAGGCAGCCTTCATAAACCCTAATACAATTGTCTTTGACCAAAAACAGAAAAATAGTTCAACACTACAACTATTAAAAATCACAAACCCATTAATTTTTATCACCCAAAGAAATCAAGCAAAAACAGTAAAAAAACACAACACAACGTTTATCACTTTCTAAATGCATCTTTATTGAATTTCACACAGTTCTCCATCAGGTTACCCAGAAATAAAAATAAAAGAAACACCAAATTTCTCTGTAAAGTGGACGAGTTGAGTAAATTCTTTCATAAAATATTTCAAAACAAATTTTTTTTTTTTTTAAAGTAGATTCCAAAATCGTAATTATTCGTTCAAAGAAATCAAACGAAAACAACAAAAGAACACAACTCGAAATTAATGGTTTTCTAAACGCGTCTTTATTAAATTTCAACCCATTCTTCGTTAGGTTGTCAAAAAAAATAAATAAACATCAAATTCTAGTCATTTTTCAGAATATTAATTTTAGATGTAGTTTTTTTTAGTATTTTCAATTATTTATTTTCTTTAAATTCATATTTTGACAAACATGAACAGAAAAAATGTACCTTCTTGGAGTGAACCATGAGGGTTTGGAATATGATAATGCGGTGGTCGTCTCCTCAGAAACAGCCGATGGAAGGTTAGCCTCGAAAGGAAGGTCTGATCCTCCTTCCGTTGGCTGTTTCTTTTCCATCAACAATACGTATATATAAATGTATATTCTTCAGAAAAAATGGGGTTTCTTTTGATCTTTATTATGCTAAAACATTTCTTGAATTAAAATAAATTGTAAAAATAAAATTTTGTTTTATTTACACGTAAAGTACATACCTGTCTAATTTTAATTCAAATATAAATCTTGATTTTCTTAGATTTCAAAACAGTTGAAAAAAACGGTATTAGTTTGGAAAATGTATGGTTTCTCCTAACTCCAGCCTCTCCTATGAGTTAACCATTCGATTTATTTTAGTGCATCAAATTATTTAAATAAGTGTTTATTTTTGCCGAAAGGAGAATAAAATTGATCATGACAAATTTACTTGACATGCATGTTGGTTTGGTTAGTTAAACAATTAATTAAATATTTTATTTTCTTTCTTTCTTTTATTATTATTATTATTAGTATGGTTACATAAAAAGTTGTTTGGTACAATCTTTATGAAGTATTGCATGGTTTATACAAATTAAATTTTATTTGTTGGTGCATTCTTTAAATGGTAAAAAATATATTAATGAGATGTGAATAATTAGTACTAAAAATATATATATTGATTCAGTATGAATAACGATTATTTATTTCTCAATTAAAGAAATGAAACAGGACAAAATTTTAACATCTCATCACCTTACCAGACTTTTGAGTGGCATGTGAGAAATTTTATCACAAAATAATATTTTCTCACTCCCATTTTAATTTTCTGCAATATCTCTACACCTCTTTCAAAAACATATATATATATATATCTACACCTCTTCCAAAAAAAAAAAAAAAACAATATATATATATATATATACTCTTTACCGTTGAGACTAAAATAAAAGGTTACTATGCATACACAAAAGAAATGGAAATGGATTGATTGTTCATGGAAGATTTGACTGCGCACACAACTCATGTACTTATGCGAGTGGAGGGATAGATATTTATTTTTTATTTAATTTTTGGAGACTTTTTAAGCATTTATACATCATATTTATAAATGACAAAAGAACAAAAATCTTGTAAAATTTTCATTTCTTGTTGGCAACTAGTTCCAACTTATATTTCGAAAAAACCTAGTTCCAACTTAACCTCACTGATGCGGATACATAGATAAATCAAAGTTTGTAATTGGAGAATGGATAATTTTTTTATTTGTTTTTGGGTAAAATATTATTTCTTATTTTAACAATGGACCATTGGACTGCATCCCCCAAATTGTCGGGCACATAACATAAGAAAAAAAAGTGAGAACCTATTATTTTATAAGTCTTTAAACTGCTTTTTCTTTTTCTTTTTTCTTTTTTTTTTTTCTTATATGGTTTTGTTTTGGTTGACTAATTCATATATGGCACAAGTGAACCAACTTAAAAGATTTTATGTAGCAATACAGGCTTATGTGAATAGAAAATAAAAAGGTTAGAATGGTTAGTGTAGAGCAACTGTATAATATATTCATATGTGAGTTGTCATACAATCACCCTAAACAAGTGTTCCATTAAGCTGCCCATAAATTGATCAGACAGTAAATTAGTGATATCTCCTTAATAAATAAAAAAACAAGACAAAACAAAACAAAACAAAAACAAAAACAGAAACAGTGTTCTTGGACGGGTTTTTCGGAGATATCCGATGTCCAATAAAATAGGAGCAGAAAAGACGACGTTCCTAGTGAATAAGAAACGGTATATTCTTATTCTACATGGGTATATTATCGTTTCTTCAACAATCCCTTAAGAGTATTTGCATTTGTCCCAAAACTTTCCAAAATTTCAACTTGTTCTCTGCTTTACACAGTTTCTGTTCATTGGTAGTCCTATCACTCAACATAACTGAATTGTCCTCATTTATTTGCTTTTGCCAATGTTTTTTCTGAACTTCTATATTAAAATGCTATAGAAAAAACGAAAACAAAAAAACCATGTTTTCCTCTCCCCATGGCCTATAGTTTTTGTTACTATAAACATCAGAACATGACTTCTGGCACACCCTGCATTAGTCATGCCATGTGAGCTACAACTCGTTGTTTGGAACCTTATTCACAAGATGTGATACAACAACCAATTACTTATTTGGGGTTAGCTACATGAATCCCGTGTTTCCATTCCACTCTATTTAAGGCCATAATCTTAGTCAATCCACGCGCTATGATAAGAATATACTGTTTCACAAGCTGTAATGATGAATAGGAGTACTAAAATTCTGAACTAGATTTAAAACTTTATTACTACAAAACTTAAAATTACCTCCCACATATCTTCACTATACATAATCCTACTGAGTTAGAGCTCATTGGTAGGAACCTTGTATCACTGTATACTTTGAAGTTAATGTTATCACTGTATACTTTGAAGTCCACAACCACCTAGCCTGTCTCCTCCTGCATCAGTAGAGGAAAATGAGGGAGGGGTCTAATTAACAAAACTCAAACGCAACCAGTTTAGCATGACTAATGCCCTTCCATAGTACTACACATTAAAATTCCATAGTGTAACATGCATCAGTTAATATCCAGGAAATCGAGAAAGCAAAAAAAGGAAGTGAAACACTAGAAGTAAGAGTTTACCTCATCAAATTCATCATGTTGATTTTCATGCCCACTCCTATTATATACAGCATGAAAAAATGCATACTCTAAATCGTCATTTTAGAGCCTGTGGTGGAATGTTATTATAGAACACATTGGTGGCTCTGGAATGATCAAGTCAAAACCATATCTAGACAACTGTAAATTTATTCATTCCACACACGGTAGTAGTGCAGGGTACACATGAGTTGAATATGAATAACACAGAGCCAAACAAAACTACAAAGATAGATGGAGATATATACATAAATAAAAACAAAAATAAAGGGGTAACAATGCAAAAACAACATATGTTGACTTTGTAGAAGAAACTCCATACGCTAACCAAGTTATGCCTGTCTTCCTTTCATATTTGTGATTTTAAACCTGTTGAACGTTCATGAAACTGAATTAATTGACTTACTACTCACCAAACTCTCTAACTTATCCCTGCAGTGCATATTAAAAATGGCAGACTTAATCCTAAGCCCACTTTTACAAGTACTCATTGATAAGTTAGCATCCCCATTCCTAGAAAAGCTTTGTGATCTCTACCATTTTAGGGAGAACATCGGAAGACTACAGGACTCATTACCGATGGTTCAAGCTTTCCTGGAAGATGCAGAGGACCGACAGGTGACGGAAAAAGCTGTCAAAGTTTGGCTGTTGAAGCTTAAAGATAAAGTTTGTGAGACTGAGGACTTGTTGGAAGTGATCACAGCAGAAATCACTCTGTGTGAGAGTCGCAGCAGCATCAGAACAAAGGTACACAAATTCCTGTTGCCCTTTGAACCATCAAGACGTTTTTTTGAATTTGCAAGTGAGCTTCAAAATAAGCTTAAACTGCTAGATAAGATTGCTAAGAAGGGACAAAGTTTTAATTTAAGAGAAGGGATTGTCAATAGGCAGACTGAGAACTTAGGTAGAAGGAGACCAACAGGTTCTTTTGTAATTAAATCAGAAGTTTATGGAAGAGAAAAGGATAAAGAAGAGATTTTGAAGCTTCTGTTACCTATCTGCAAAGAAAAACTCAAAGGGGATGTTTCAGTCATTCCAATAGTTGGGATTGGAGGCCTTGGTAAGACAACTCTAGCTCGATTGCTCTACAACGATGAGAAGGTGACCCAGTATTTTGATTTGAAAATATGGGTGTATGTGTCTGAAGATTTTGATCCAAGAAAGATCATTTTATCAATTGTAGAGTCTGCAACGAAAAAAAAATGCAAATTCTTGGAGATGGATCTACTTCAATCCCTACTGCAAGAATCATTATGTGGGAAGAGAGTTTTGCTTGTGTTGGATGATGTATGGAATGAAGATCAAGGAGAGTGGAATGAACTAGGTGATTTATTAAGAAGTTGCATGGAAGGAAGCAAAGTGATAGTCACTACGCGAAGTAAAAAGGTTGCATCAATTATGGGCACTACTTTCCCACACCGACTCAAGGGTTTGCATGAGGATGATTGTTGGCTTTTGTTCAAGAAACGTGCTTTTGGTCACGGAGAAGAAGAAGAGCATCCTGATCTGCTGCCAATTGGTAAAAAGATCATCAAGAAATGTGGAGGTGTGCCTTTAGCAGCACAAACTTTGGGAAGCCTATTGCGTTTCAAAAGGGAGATGAAAGACTGGTTGTTTGTACAGGAGAGTGAACTTTGGAACCATGAAGAATGCCAAACTGGCATTTTGCCAGCTCTAAGGTTGAGTTACATCTATTTGCCATCACATCTCAAGCGATGCTTTGTATATTGTTCATTATTTCCTAAAAATTATGAAATCAATAGGGAGAAGTTGATTCATCTGTGGATGGCTGCAGGCTTAATTCTATCATTTGGAGGAAGTAGGGTATTGGAGGACATTGGTGATGAGTATTTCAATGATTTTTTGTGTCTTTCTTTCTTTCAAGAAGTTGAGAAAAGTGAGGATGGTAGCATAAAAGTGTACCAAATGCATGATGTCATTCATGATCTTGCGCGATATGTTGCAGGAAATGAGTTTGTTATAATAGGTCATGGTCTTGCCCCGAGTAATCTTGCACAAACTCGTCACTCATCCATAGATTACAGTGTCTACCCATCTTCTTTTCCGCATGGCTTGTTTAAAGCAACACATCTACGAACTCTCCTATTCTTGTGTCCTGGAGACCACTTTGAAGAGCTTCCTTCTTCTCTGACTGCCATGTTTGTCTACTTGCGGGTTCTAGATTTAAGTCAATGTGGCATTAAAACAGTGCAGAAATCAATCAATGAATTGATGTGTTTGAGATATCTTGACCTTTCAAACTCCTCAATCCAAACTCTCCCCCATACTATATGCGACCTCTGTAATTTGCAGACACTGAACTTATCAGGTTGCAATAACCTTGTGGAGTTGCCCCTAGGGATGGGGAAGCTGATTAGCCTAAGACACCTTAATATAATGGGGTGTGAAAGATTGAGTCGTATGCCTTATGGGATTGGAAAGTTGGTTCACCTTCAGACGTTGCCGATATATGTTGTGGGCAAGGAGACTGGAGAAAGCATTGCAGAACTCAATTGTCTAAATGTAAGGGGTGATCTGAACATAAAATGCTTGGAGAATGTGAAAGATTCAGAAGAAGCAAAAGAAGCTAATTTGAGAGGAAAGAGATACCTTCACATGTTAGCATTACATTGGGGAAATAACGTCGAGGGTCACAACTTGAAAGCTGCAAACAGGACCACTTCACATGAGGTCAAAAATAATAAACATGCAGTCTCATCAGGATCATCACATGGGGAAAATAGCAATGCTAGGATGAGAGAAGTGGAAGAAATTCTCAGATGCCTTCAACCACACCCAAATCTTAAGAAACTTTTTATCAAAGGATATCCAGGAATCAAGTTTCCTTATTGGGTTCTTCCAAGTCTAGTTGTGGTTACATTGATCAACTGTAAAAGATGTGAAAGTTTGCCTACCCTTGGGCACCTTGCGTTCCTCAAGACTCTCTACCTGCAAGAAATGGATGGTGTTACACACATTGCAGAAGAGTTCTACTCTGGGGACACCGAGAAACCCTTCCCTTCTCTCAAAGAGCTAACACTCAAATATTTTCCTAACTTGGAAAAATGGTCCTGCATTGATGACAAACAAGCATTCCCTTGTCTGGAAAAGTTAATTGTAGACGCATGTCCTAAGCTGACAACTGCACCAGTCATTCCATCTCTTCAACATCTGGAGCTGCGTGATTGCCATCCAGAGATACTGAACTCCATAAAAAGTATAACCTATATTTCTGTCCTTGTTATTGACACATTTCCAGAGTTGCAACATCTACCAGGAGAATTTCTGGAAAACAATACGCGTCTTGAATATTTGGAGATCTGCTCCTGCCAAAACCTTCATGCACTGCCTTCAGAAATAGAGAACGCCATTGCTCTAAAGTCTTTGATTGTTAGTTGCTGTGAGGAGCTATCCAGTTTGCCACATGGACTGCAAAAGCTTAAAGGTTTGGAGTTACTGGATATTAATGGCTGCCACAAGATAAAGTTTTTGCCGGAGGATGGGATTGGAGGATTGAGGTCCCTCCAAACTTTGTCCATTGAGAACTGTAACAAACTGATTTCTTTATCTAGCGGACTCCGGCATCTCACAGCCCTTCAGCAGTTGACCATTATGAGTTGCCCCGAATTGGATTCATTGCCACATGGTTTGCAAAATCTCTCGGCACTTCGGAGCCTTAGCATTGTATCCTGTCCTGAGTTGTCTTCTCTGCCAGAAAGTCTACAATATGTCACAAAACTGCAAACTTTGGTAATTCATAGCTGTCCTGGCCTCACAGTTTTGCCAGATTGGATTGCAAACTTTTCTTCACTTAGGTCATTGGCAATTACAAATTGCCATTATCTGATATCATTACCAGAAGGACTGCAACACCTTGGTACGCTTCAGCACCTATCAGTTCAAGATTGTCCAGGTATTGAACGACGGTACAAGCAGATGGGAGGCAAGGAGTGGCATAAAATAGCTCATATCCCGCATCTCTACATTGGGACACCAGAATTTGGAAAATAACTCAAAGCAAGCAGCTTCTACAATTGCAGGTTAAATTAGACACTTCCTTCATTTGTTATTCTTGCCATGCAACTTCCACTCTTATTTTGATTAGATAATATCATTGTAGCATTAATTTATGCAGACTTTCCTTAACATTGTGCTGCACAACCACATCTCTTAAGTCATTCTCAATGGCATATGACATATCGTATTTAAAAGGATATATTATTATCTAATTCTGGAGTCAGTCCTATTTTCAACAAATCCAAAGATTTGTCATGTAAAATCTAGCATAAATGCATAATGCAGATCACCAGAATAATGAACAAAATCGGGGATGTAAGCTATTTAAACCTTAATTGACATTATCTTAAATGAGTTCCGAAAACTAATAAAATGATATATATTCTTGCAAAATACATTTGGATGTGTTCCAATAGTTATTGTGAGAGCTTGATACGTATATTTGGAGATATCTCTCTATATATATATTCCGTGACAACTTGAGCTGTTGTCAGATGACCTTGTTAGGGAAGTGTCTAGCTATTATCTTCCTTCATCTTGGGTTGAATATTGTAGCACCCAACCAGTTTATTTCTTCAAAACTTATTATTCAGTATCTGCATTTCTGATGCACATATGCATTAATATATTTCTGGCATTGGCAAGGTAATTTTGCTCCTTGAGTAACGCAAAAAAGTTACACACTTTTTCTTGAACATCTGCAGAACTCTTTTCTTTCACAAGGTACTCTCTCCCTCTGAAATTGTATCCTCTTTTATCTATATTCTACACATACATAAATATATGCATATCTAATGTTCATCCATGCATTGTGGATGCGTGCAGAGGACAGAACATATGTTCTTGGGACATATATATATTATATCTAATAATCATGTGTTTAATTTGAGAACTTTTGTGCTTATGTCTGAATTGCCAATTTTTCAGCCAGCCTTTGGGCAATGGTTAATTCATATAGTTTCCCAGATAATTCAGCAGCATTTTGACCAGATTTCTACAGTACTCTGCAGCCTTTGGCCAATGGTCAATTCATGTAATTTCACAGATGAGTCAGCAACATTTAGACCAAATTCCTACAATACTGTTTCGAAGTTTTAGCTCAACTAATTAGAAAATGATCACATAAGAAAATTTATTTTTCTGCAGCTACAATGTGCAAATTTGGGTTCAACTTCATTTTACTGCCTTCTTACCTCTATTAATTTAGTAGTCTGTTCGTATCTGAAGTATGTTGAATCTTTTGTGAGACCTCACTGGGTCTTTTAGGTACAAAAATCAGTTATTTCCTTTACTTAATTCTGATCTACTCTATTCCGTTCAGAAATTGATTCAAACTCGTTTAATTGGTAATGTTTTTGTACGACAAATTTCTGCTATAGCTTGTTAGGTTCTGAACAAAGGAACCTACTCTGTGCTTGAAATAAATTAAGTATAAGCATATTATAAAGCTACTCATTCTGGTTTGTATGTGTGACAATTCACAAGGTGTTCTTAAGTAGTTCGGTTGTAGACGTTTTAAAATTTTATTATGTGAACTATATTCAGTTAGTTTTCTTCTACCATTACGAACAATAAAATATTTGTATCTAATTTTCTGCATCTGTTTTTGGCAGGGTCCTAAGGTTTGGCATTGGGCTTGCAGGAGAGGTTCCCACACCTAAGGATGATGCTACCTCGTCTGCCGAATCTTATTAGGTTGATGGAAGAAAATAAATGTCGTGTGCCAATTAATCGGAAGCTAAGTTAGGGTACATTATTTTGGCAGAATATAATATTGTATTTGACCAGAAACATATATTCTCTTGATGATTTCAAAAAAGACGTTGATTTACAAGTTTCAACTATGTTATACAAAACAACTGATTCATTTCTGATCATCGGAAGTATCATAACTAACTACGTGTTGTGTTTTATGGCACTTTGTTAGGATTAAATTCATAGGAAGCATCTTAAAACCTCAAAGTTTTGCAAACCCTAACATTACCACTATATTCATAAAATTATGGAGTTATAAGAGTATAACTATTAATGAGACCAATTAACTGTAGTGATAAAACATAACTCATGTAATTGTATCAAAACTATCTCCAATTCACTGCTAAAAAGTGCAATTATTACCAAACCACTCAACCATATTTGTGAGAAAGACAAATCGGAACCACTTCAAATTAAGAAATACAATAGGAACACCCATATTTGAAAAACACAAGTGAAGATGCAATGAGTAAGTGACTAAAATGGGTGTTTAGGTTTAATATCATTCTCAGCTGTGAACAGAATTTTCAATAGGCGATGACGATGGAAAGCCTTAACTTACTAATAATTGAAGATTATTCAGGCAATTCCACAAGCCAGAAGCAAGTTGAAGGGCTCAGAAGCTGAGATATATCATTAATTTGAAGCCACGGCCATGAAAAAGTGCTCTTCAGCCAAGACACTAACCACAACTCATCCGCTGGTTCTTCAAACCTGTATGTGAGGTGAGGTTGGAGGTGAGGTTGGTGCTTTGTTTAGGCAAGTCCCACATCGAATAGGAACAAAAGTGGGATAGAGAGGTAAAACCTTGTACTTAAGCGCAATTCCGAAACTACCCTTGGTACAGAAGGAATATATATGGATTTATTACATGTAATTTGTTGAAGTTTTTGGTCTTACACGTCATACATCATTTACAATTGCGAAATTAGACAGAAAACACAATAAAGTGATTCAAAATATTATAAATTTGTTACAGATAATTTGTTAGAGTTTTTTTTTTTTTTTATATCAAATTAATAATTCAGGTTTTTTTTTTTTTTTTTCAAAATCTTGATATTTGGAGAAATATTTTTCCAATTTACCAATAGTTTTTTAACTATTTCTTCCTTGATTAGACGTGGAATTTAAAAAAAGCTGAAAAAAGAAAAGAAAGATAGAGGCATAAAAACATATGAAAAAATCTTTGTGGAATTTTTTTGAAGGGTGTTCTGGCCAAGATAGAGGTGAGAATGGAAATGTGGTAAGTGATTTGTCCTTCATAACAACGAATAATTTTGTTTAAATGTATGTTAGTTGAAAAACATTGACTTATTTAATTTTTATTATTTAAAATTTTAATTTTTTAAGAATTTTGGATGTTATTATGAATTATGATACTATCATTTCTGCTGAACTCACAATTAATCCGTCTTGGTACTTTAAAATTTATATTTTGTGCAAAATTGAGTATTTTTTGGTTTCTATTTATACTTTTAAGAATTTATGCAAATACACCTTGTGAAAAAGAAATGGCAGTAGATCTCCTGTTTCATTCTTTAAATTCATCTGTTGTCTAATATATATCATCTCATTTTTTTCAAATACAAACCTTGATTTTCTTAATTTGCAAAATAGTAAAACATATATTTTGGAAGTTAAAATAAAATTATTAATAAATATTTTTAAAATACTATAAGTATATATATATATAATTGTATGAGTTTGGAAAATATATAAATTCTTCGACAGAGTAACGCCTTTGAGATAGCTGGAGTAACGAACTCTCTATATTTAATCACTATGTATTAAATGATTTATTTGATTAACTATTTGTATCTAAAAAAGTTTAATGGAGAGTATTTTGGCAAAAATAGAGGTGAGAATGAAGATGTGGTAAATGATAACAAAAAGGAAGAACCAATTTTGTCCACTATAACATAGAAAACTAATTTTGTCTAGAGATGCAAAATGTGCCAAATCCAGAGAACTAATTTTGTCTAGAGATACTAATGTGGATATCTCAGTTGAAGAACATTGACCTATTTAATTTTTAATCTAAAAGAATATTGGATGTTATTATGAATTATGATACTATAATTTCTACCGAACTCACAAATAATTCATCTTGGTACTTCAAAACTTTTATTTTGTGAAAGACTAATAAGTATTTATTTGTTTCTAATTATTCTTTTAAGATTTTTTTGGGCATGAATAATGGAAAGGATATGTCTGTCAGTTTCAATATTTGTTTAACCTCATTTGTTGTTATATATATCATCTCATTTTTTTAAAACAATATTTGTAAAATAGTTAAAACATAAATTTGGAAGGTAAAAAAAAGTAAATTTTTTTTTTTTTAAATACTATATGTATATATATAATTGTATAATTTTGTAAAATATATGGTTTCTCTAAACATAGTAATGATATTAACATAGGTACCTCATGACAATAATTACGAAAAATTGATCCCAATAATAATAACAAATTTTTAATTTGCATGAATGGGTGAAGGCAATATCCAACAATTCATATGGATAGAATGAAAAACATTAATTGAAAATTGTTTTCATTTCTAATGGTATAATTCCATATAGTGTTTTCACTTTTCGCTTACAACTTTTCTCTCCCTTTATATGTTTTTTTCTCTCACATCATAATTTTTTCCAATACCTCATATAAATGATATCAACAATATATATACATTCTTTCATAATTATAATATTTTTGAGTTCTCCAATACCTCATATAAATAATATCAACAATATATAATATTCTTTTTTAAATGTGTTGGTGATGGTAGTTGAATAAGTTATTTTTTTATTTTTTTTATATATAAATAATAATAATAATAATTTAAAATAAATTTCATGTTTCAGAGTTCCATCAAGTAATCCTTCCTGTTGTATGTCTTCTTGATGTAAGTTTGGAGTATATTTTACAATAAAATAAATATTTCATTTATTATTTAAACAAGGGAAAAAATGTTATTATATTATTTTTATTTAAAATCCCATTTTATATCCAATTTGTTCCAAACATATAAATAAAATTTTATTTTAATTTCAATTCCTATTCCAATTCAGATTCCTTTTCCAAATTCTAAAATAATTGATTCCAAACAAAGCGTAAAGGAAAAAGGAACAATAAGTCATATCTTATAATATATATAATAATTTTGAAACTCGTTAGATAGATGAAAAATATAATCAATCATTACCGGGATAAACTTAAAATTGTGGAGTTATAAAACTATTAACTATTAATGAGACGAATTTAATGTAGTGATAAAACACAACTCAAGTAAATTGCAGCAAAGCAATCTCCAATTTACTGCTAAAAAGTGCAAATGTTACTAACCAGAATATGTGATCAAAGAACTAGTTTTAAATTAACAAATACAAGAGGGACATCCATATTCCATACAGAAAAACACAACTCAAGATGCAATGGACTCTGTAAGAGTAAATAACCAAATTGGGTCTTTAAGGTTAATATCATTCCCAGCCGTGAGTCATCAAAAGTAAGTACTCTATTGGAATTTAGAGAAAGATGAAGTAGCTTGCATTATATATATATATATATAAACACAAATTTTAAGTACATATATGAAAATAAATTTCAATGCTTACTGAAACTTGAAAATTATTTAAGTCACACAATTATTTTAAATGGGTGTCGCTTTCACGCTCCTAGCATGCTCCTGCTTTCACATTCCGTGCATGTTCTCGATCCTATTCCCACTATTTGTGATTTTGTCGTTTTCATGCTTCCGCTCTCGAATTTGTTCTCGCTTTATGTGACTTTGATCATAAGCAAGTTAAGGAGCTCATAGGTGATATATCATGAAAGCCATGACCATGAAGAACAGTCAAGAGAAGTGCTTTAGCTAAGTCCCACATCGGTAAAGAGAGAAAAGTGGGGAGAGAGAGTTGGTTATAAAAAGAGAGGCTGGTGAATAAACAATTCATACCTTTCTCGGCCTTTTGGCTAAGATCAAGTGTAGTATCTGTTCTTATCAGTTTAATATCTGATACGTGGGCCAATGGCCCACCCGGTATTAAATTAATTTTTTTTAGGGGGAGGGGCTACCGCAGTAGCTTGCTATTGGGCCTCTTGTGTGTTGCCTTGGTGTTGCACTATAACCTGGGCTTGGCACACCCCACCAATTCTCAGTTAAAATTTTATATATATATATATATATATATACATAAAATTTATGAATTAAGCTTTGGGATTTATGAATTAGTACATTCTTTAAATGATTAAAGTTTTAATTCATATATATCTTGGGCTTGTTCTTTGGGCTTTCTAGCCAGAACAGTTTTGTTTGGCCATAATGCCTCTTCCCACTCATTGTTGATCATGTACCATTTTACCTCTATATTTATAGATTGGTTAACCCTTAAAGAGTCACTTCTAGAATCAATACTCGTTTTATTTTGCAATATGTTTTTTGCTAATATTTTTAATTTTAATTTCATTTATTTTTTTTTTCCCATTTTTTGTTGTTATCCCCTGTTATTTGAAATTGGGACATAGTTTTACTTTTCTTATTCGGTGAATTTGTGCTCAAATGGTACTAGTTTTGATTGTTTTTCTAACTTGTTCATCATTTTTGTTTGGACCATAACTCGACATAACCAAGTTCATTGCCATTTCAGCTGAGATCAAAATGCTTCTATAAGAATGATTCAAGTTTATTAAAAAGCCAATCTTTATTTGGAGAAACCTAGACCCGCAAACATCTATGATTTGTTTATGTATTTAGAATTTCTGAGCTTTATATTGATCTTTGTAGAAAAGTTGTTAAAACAAGAGCTAGAATTATCTTTTTAACATAAGTGAGAACCGGAGGTATAATTTATGAGCTACACTTTACCCTGGTTAGAGAACGCTTAATGTGACATTATATTAGCGCTCCTGCGGCCCCTAGCTATGGACACTAAGTCACTTTGATGAGAATACATATATCTTTCACTTTGGTTAGAACACCTCATATAATTTTTCAGCCTTCAATCAAAACACTTCACGGGTGATATGTGATGTATCTATACGAATCACTAATCAGTTCACTTTACATAATATGTGAAGTGTTAGCCCTCGATCAAAACATTTCACATGACATCCTCGATCATAAAACTTCACATGATGTCCCTCGATCAGAAGATTTCATGTGATATGTGATATAATAGTACCAGAATACCTCTCGATCAAAACACTGTAGGAATCAATCAAACCTCGATCAAAACAATTCAAGAATCAATCAGATCTCGATCAGAACGCTTTACGTGATTATGTTCACTTTGGTTAGAACATTTTTATGAGAGTTTCTATTCAATTTTATTTGAGTATTAGCCGTTTATGACAACCAAACATTCTTTAAACAAATGAAACATATAATTTTGACAACTTTTGGTTTGAATTTTGAAATGATTATTTAATTATTTATTTATTTTTTATTATTATTTTTTGTTTGTAAAAATATAAGCAAATTTTTTTTGAGCTCTAAACAAGTTTTTAAGACAAGATGTTCAAAATAACAAATCAAAAAAAGTCAAAACAAACCTCAGTCCCAAACTTACACAAAATAACACTAGAGTATTTCAAATTATTTATTTAAGTAAATAACTATATATAGTATTTGTTTTTTCTATTTTTTAATGTTGATTTTCAGCACTTTTACTTTTACTTTTACTTCCATACACGCAAACCATCTTTGACAAAAATATTCAAACATGTTCTTCAATTCAGTGCGTGTGTGTGTGTGTGAGAGAGAGAGAGAGAGAGAGAGGACCAGACGCCTTTTTTTTTTGAAAAGTAAATTTAAATATAATAAAGAGGGAGCCTAAACAGCACATAGCAATATTACATTAGGAAGCCCAGGCTTCAAGTAAGCCAGGCCATGAGAGAATAAAGTTTGAACAAAGTAGCCAAGCCCAAAGACCCCAGCCCAAGAAGCTAACAGAAAAGGAAACCGTGAATGGCTTGAACAAATCCGGTATCAACATGGTGAAAATCCACCACTAGTGTGTCACTGATCAATGGTCTGGTGGTTCCCGAGGTGGGACTCAATAGGTGATAGATATATCATGAAAGCCATGACCAGGAAAAACAACCAAGAGAAATGTTTTAGCTAAGTCCCACATCGGTAAAGAGAGAAAAGTGAGAGAGAGAGAGTTGGTTATAAAAAGAGAGGCTGGTGAGTGGACAATTCATACCTTTCTCAGCATTTTGGCTAAGATCAAGTGTAGTATCTGTTCTTATCAGTTTAATATATGATACGTGAGCCAATGGCCCACCCGGTATTAAATTAATTTTTTTTAGGGGGAGGGGCCACCACAGTAGCTTGCTATTGGGCCTCTTGCGTGTTGCCTTGGCGTTGCACTATAACTTGGGCCTGGCACACCCCACCAAATCTCAAGTTAAAATTTTATATTCTATACATACATAAAATTTATGAATTAATACATTTGTAAAATGATTAAAGATTAATTCATATATATCTTGTGCTCTGCTTTTACATATATATCATGAAAGCCACTACCATGAAGAATAACCAAGAAAAGTGCTTTAGCAAAATCCCACATCGGTTAAGAGAGAAAAGTTGGGGGAGAGAGTTTGTTATAAAAAGAGAGGTTGGGATCAAGTGTAGTATATGTTCTTATCAGTTTAATATCTGATATGTGGGCCAACGGCTCACCTGGTATTAAATTAATTTTTTTAGGGGAGGAGCCATCACAGTAGCCAAATCTCAGTCAAAATTTAAATTTTACGTTCTCGGATTTTATGAATTAAGCTTTTGGAACTTGGATTTTATGAATTATGCATTCGTAAATTGATTCAAGACAAATATGATATATATAATATAAGGTGGTCTACAAACTCACTAAAACACTTAACGTTAATATTCTGTTAGAACTTTGGGCTTGTTTTTGGGTTATGCTTAGGTCCAGATAGGGACATGTCTGTTATCCAAGTTTATTTTGTTTGGGCTTCTAGCCAGAACAGTTTTGTTCGGCCATAATGCCTCTTCCCACTCATTGTTGATCATGTACCATTTTACCTCTATATTTATAAATTGCTTAATCCTTTTTTTAAAAAAATTGTATCAGCCCTGGATTATATAGCACTTAACGCAATGTTGTTTACTGCTGGTAGTATTTCAGGTGCTTAATCCATACTTGGCGATGACACTTCAAACGAATTAAACGCGTTAAGTGTTTCTGCTTCCGAAAAAAAATTCAAGACTTCTACTGCATACCACTCAATTCTCGAATCAATACTCATTTTATTTCACAATTTGTTTTCTGCTAATATTTTTATATTTTTATTTTTTTTCCATTTTGTGTTGTTCATCCCCTGTTGTTTGAAATTGGGGCATAGTTTTACTTTTCTTCTTAGGTGAATTTGTGCTTAAATGGTACTAGTTTTGATTGTTTTTCTAACTTGTTCATCATTTTTGTTTGGGCCATAACTCATAAGACATAACCAAGTTCATTCCCATTTTAAGATTGCATAATGAGGAGTACTTGAGCTGAGATCAAAATGCTTCTATAAGAATGATTCATGTTTATTAAAAAATCAATCTTTATTTGGGGAAACCTAGACCCGCAGACATCCATGATTTGTTTATGTATGAAAAGTTGTTAAAACAGGAACTAGAATTATGTTTTTAACATTTCTATTCACATAAGTGAGAATCGAATGTATAATTTATGAGCGACGCTTTACTCTGGTTAGACAACACTTAATGTGATATTATATCAACACTCTTGCGGCCTCTAACTATGGCCACTAGGTCACTTTGATGAGACTTCACATGATGCTTCTCGGTCAAAAGATTTCACGTGGTATGTGATATATCAGTATCAAAATACTTAAGAAATCAATGAGACCTCAATTAGAAGACTTCAAGAATCAATTAGAACTCGATCAAAACACTTCACGTGATTATGAAAGTTTTTATTCAATTTGATTTGAGTAGGAATAGTTTATAATAACCAAACAAATTTAAACAAATCAAAAGTATAATTTTGACAACTTTTGATTTGAATTTTGAAAATATTATTTAATTAATATTTTTTGTAATAATATAAGCAAAATTTTTTTGAGCTCTAAACAAGTTTTTAACACAAGATATTCAAACGAACAATTAAAAAAACGTCAAACCAAACTTCAGTCCCAAACTTACACAAAATAACACTAGAGTATTTCAAATTATTTATTTAAGTAAATAGTTTTTTCTATTTTTTAAGAAATAGAACAGGAACACCCATATTTGAAAAACACAAGTGAAAATGCAATGAGTAAGTGACTAGAATGGGTCTTTAGATTTAATATCATTCTCAGCTGTGAATCATCAAAAGAAATATAATGTTCATGTATATGTATGCACAGAATTTGCAATAGGCGATGACGATGGAAAGCCTTAACTTACTAATAATTGAAGATTATTCAGGCAATTCCACAAGCCAGAAGCAAGTTGAAGGGCTCAGAAGGTGAGATATATCTTTAATTTGAAGCCACGGCCATGAAAAGTGCTCTTCAGCCAAGACAACCCTGTATGTGAGGTTGCTGCTTTGTTTAGCCAAGTCCCCCATCGAATAAGAGAGAAAAGTGGGATAGAGATGTAAAAACTTGTATGTACTCTAATGGGCTTATCATACATTCTTTGCAATTGCGAAATTAAACCGAAAAGACGCTAAAGCGATCAAACACATACCAACCGAATATTAAAAAAATATCAAAATATTTTTCTAAAAATTCAAGTGTACATTATTTATCAGATTCCACGCTATCCAAAATGTTATGAGCTTGTTACAAGTAATTCGTTAGAGTTTTTTATTTTTATTTATTTTTATCAAATTAATTATTTAGGTTTTTTCTCTTTCAAAATCTTGATATTTGGAGAAATATTTTTTCAATTTACCTATAATTTTTAACTATTTCTTCCTTGGTTAGATGTGGTATTTAAAAAACTTTGAAAAAAGAAAAGAAAAATAGAGGCAAAAAAAACATATGAAAAATCTTTGTGAAAGTTTTGTGAAGAGTGTAATTTTAAAAGAATTTAGGATGTTATTATGAATTATGATACAATCATTTCTGCTGAACTCACAATTAATCCGTCTTGGTATTTTAAAATTTCTATTTTGTGCAAAATTGA